AAAAATTGGAATGTAAACCATCTTTGAAAACATTATATGAAGCAATAACACTTTTAATCTGTCAGTGTTTGAATGCTTAGCTTGGAATACACAGATCATCCAGTAACTAGTTACTTGAACAGAAACTGCACATACTGTCAAAAGTGAACATGACTATAGAAATGACATTGAACAGGGAACTTAATACACAAAAACTATAGCACTTTTTTATGGCTTCAGATGTACTTGGTCCATAAGCTCAGCCACACATACAAACACGCTTTAATACTATTGAGAACCTAACTTCCCTTCTGGAAACATTTCCAGTTTCTGATGTACTGTCACTAACATACAGCCACAGGTTACAATAATTGATGGACTGTTACACACAGGTACTGATGGGATGTCATCTAAACAAAGCCACTGGTGATAAGTACAGGTGGACTGTCACTTAAACACAGCCACTGATGACAGGTACTGGGTGACTTTTGCTCAAACACAGCCACAGGAAACAGTTACTGGTAGATTGACACTCACAACCATGGTGACAGTTACTAGTGGAATAACACACACCCACAAACTGGTGAGTAACTGTTGAACTGTCACTTACACACAGTCACTGGTAACAAGTACTGATGGACTGTCACTTACACACAGCCACTGGTGACAAGTACTGATGGACTGCCACTTACACACAGTCACTAGTGACAGGTACCAGTAGAATAACACAGAGCCAAAGGTGACAGGTCCTGGTGGACTGTTCATTGTGAACTGTCACTTACACTCAACCATTAGTGACAGTTAATTGGAACCTGTCACTTAACACACAGCCATTACTGACAGTTAATTGGTACCTGTCACTTAACACACAACCATTGGTGACAGTTAATTGGTACCTGTCACTTAACACACAGCCATTACTGACAGTTAATTGGTACCTGTCACTTAACACACAACCATTGGTGACAGTTAATTGGTACCTGTCACTTAACACACAACCATTGGTGACAGTTAATTGGTACCTGTCACTTAACACACGGCCATTGGTGACAGTTAATTGGTACCTGTTACTTAACACACAGCCATTGGTGACAGTTAATTGGTACCTGTCACTTAACACACAACCATTGGTGACAGTTAATTGGTACCTGTCACTTAACACACAACCATTGGTGACAGTTAATTGGTACCTGTCACTTAACACACAACCATTGGTGACAGTTAATTGGTACCTGTCACTTAACACACAGCCATTACTGACAGTTAATTGGAACCTGTCACTTAACACACAGCCATTGGTGACAGTTAATTGGTACCTGTCACTTAACACACAACCACTGGTGACAGTTAATTGGTACCTGTCACTTAACACACAACCATTGGTGACAGTTAATTGGTACCTGTCACTTAACACACAACCATAGGTGACAGTTAATTGGTACCTGTCACTTAACACACAGCCATTGGTGACAGTTAATTGGAACCTGTCACTTAACACACAACCATTGGTGACAGTTAATTGGTACCTGTCACTTAACACACAACCATTAGTGACAGTTAATTGGTACCTGTCACTTAACACACAGCCATTACTGACAGTTAATTGGAACCTGTCACTTAACACACAACCATTGGTGACAGTTAATTGGTACCTGTCACTTAACACACAACCATAGGTGACAGTTAATTGGTACCTGTCACTTAACACACAGCCATTGGTGACAGTTAATTGGTACCTGTCACTTAACACACAGCCATTGGTGACAGTTAATTGGTACCTGTCACTTAACACACAGCCATTGGTGACAGTTAATTGGTACCTGTCACTTAACACACAACCATAGGTGACAGTTAATTGGTACCTGTCACTTAACACACAGCCATTACTGAGAGTTAATTGGAACCTGTCACTTAACACACAGCCATTGGTGACAGTTAATTGGTACCTGTCACTTAACACACAACCATAGGTGACAGTTAATTGGTACCTGTCACTTAACACACAGCCATTGGTGACAATTAATTGGTACCTGTCACTTAACACACAGCCATTGGTGACAGTTAATTGGTACCTGTCACTTAACACACAACCATAGGTGACAGTTAATTGGTACCTGTCACTTAACACACAGCCATTAGTGACAGTTAATTGGTACCTGTTACTTAACACACAACCATAGATGACAGTTAATTGGTACCTGTCACTTAACACGCAGCCATTGGTGACAGTTCATTGTGAACTGTCACTTACACAGCCATTTGTGAAAATGTGATTATATCAATTATCTCAAGAGAACAGCAGCAAAAGATATATGTATGCTTTGAAATATAGATGATCTCATGATATTTCCTGTGACAGTTGTGTCTTATACTGAGAAAGGATCATAAGTTGACTTTCTTTCATAATCAAATTATCTTGGTCAAATTTTGGTTTTAATTTATTGACTTTTAATTATTTCTTTGCACTTTGTACAATTTCATTAACACTGATGGTAGCAACACTAAAGAATGAAGGCTGCACTACAAGAACATGATATACCAGTTAAAAAGCATTTCAATATATTCTTTTGTGATTAATCCATGTTATTCTTTGGAATACCCCCTTGCCCACTATTAACCTGTTGAAAGTAAATACTTCTTATCCATCAACATACATACAACTCTGTGCGTGGCACAGCTTCTTCCATTCAAATCAAAGATCACAGAAAAAAAATAACAATTAGAAATGAAGGGTATAACAATGGATAATTTATGCAACAAGACAATAACAATAACAAAGAATTTGTTCAACTAGCAGTATCTCAATCATCTACCACCATAAATATCTAAAGTTAATATCATAGGAAACCTTGTTTGGATACTATCCATCAAACACTGTTTTATAAGGCTATACACTACCTTATACATTAGTAAAGGGTATATACTACCTTACTTAATTTGCCTGTAATTTGTGTAAAAGTTTTAAGGCTATATACTACCTTATACATTAGTAAAGGATATATACTACCTTACTTAATTTGCCTGTAATTTGTGTAAAAGTTTTAAGGCTATATACCATCTTCACACATTTTGCCTGTATATTAAGAGTTAAGGCTATATGCTACATTACACATTTTGTAATTTGTGTTTAAGAGTTAAAGCCATATGGTACCATACACCTGCAACTGCTGTTATGAGTTATGTTTGTAATTCAATAATCATTAACATTTCAAACTTGGAATATCCCCTCCCTCATCCTGTCTGATATTATTTCAAGGTATCTTAAATCATTAGTTATATAATTTGCATTCAAGTATCCTTTCCAATGGGTTACCTTACAAATGTTAGTCTTTTAGAAAAGGAGAAACATATTATAAACAATTTTTTGCTTCAAAAAAATGCATCTTTCTTGGTGTAACTAAATTTTACTAAAAACACCTGCATTATCATTTCAAGACCTTTGTGGAATTTTTGGAATGATTTCCAATTGGAGTGTGCTTATTTACTTTGACAGAATCAAGGGTGACTGTAGGGTCCAATAAACAACATCTGCTCAGAATAAATAACAATGATAAACACAAAGTGATCTGGCATTGTGATATAAAAAAAGTCTGAAGAGGCATCACATGGCCCTTCTCAGTCTTTGTCCTCTATTATATTTTTAACATTTTAATAAAAATTACATTATATACAGTATTGTACAAATTAGATATACAGATTTTATTTACATTACTTATTTACAATTCTTATTTCATATACTGATATATGCGAATCCCATCTCACTGTTTATGCGACTAGTTAAACAAACTATCATTTCACAGCAGCTTCCAAGCAATGTCAGTCAACTTGTTATTATTGGCTAGCCCACCATATCCAGCATACCAGACAACTTGTAATTAGTGGCTAGCACTCCATATCCATCTTTTAATTAGACAGCTATCAAGAGTCAAATTGTAATTAATGGTTGGCCAACTAGTAATCTGGTATAAAGAATCCAATTGAGACAGAACAGACTATCCTCCAATCTCACTATATAGTCATCAATTGATGGAGCACTTTTGCATTAGTTAAACTCTCTCTGCCCAATCAACCCCTGTAATTTGTTGGCCCACCCTCCTTGTCCAATAAGATTACCACCTACCTGAACATTGCCAGAATACTGATATTTGATGGTCAGACCACAGTCAATGTCTACTTGGTTAAATCCTTTCATTCTTGTTCATTGTGGGAGTTAAATCCTAGTCAAAGGGAAATAACTGTAATTTTGAGATTAACAAACAAGAAGTTAAGCCCACAGGGAAACAGAAAGACATGTAAAATCAATAATAAAAATGGTCTGACATTGCTTTTTGTGACTAAAGAATATAAATGATGCAAAAATCTACAAAAAATATATATTAAATGCAAATTACTGTAACCATGTTATTGCACATTTGTATGAAGCATGTCTGTGAAGGTGTTGTACCAGGTCTAGCCTGTAACATTACAACCTTAAAATGCAGAGATGAACACTGTCACTTGGCTCTAATCTCTCAAACAACTCCTAACAAAAAAATATTCTAAAACCCCATAAATCACAAAATGTGAAGCCTATAGAACACCTACAGTGTGATCTGTATAAATCTGATCTACATAAAGACTGGTGTTGTTTTGACAGAATCTTGAGCCTGATAAATCACTAGAAAACTTCTAGCTGACTTTACAGAGGCTGTGGCAAGAAAAACACAGTAACAGAAACAAGTATGAAGTGTAAAGGAACACTTAAGGTTTACACCCTTGATAAGTAACCTTAATAATAAACAGTGTAAGATTTGGCACTGCTACTTCAAATTTCTTATTTCAGACTTGACCAATCACAGCTTTGCTACTTATCAATAAATTTACAAAATGACCATTCAAAGAAGTCTGTTGAACTTTAATAATACAGATACATGTGTAGATATCTGGTTTCATGAAAAACTGTATACAGTGTTCTCATTTCTATTTTAAAGTATCATGAAAAAAAAAACTTTTTATGAAAATTTTTTTCTTGTATATCTGCACTTAAATAGGGAAAAGGATCCATTTTCAAACAATAACAATTTTAGTTGAAAAAAAACCAACAAAAAAAAAAAAAAAAACCAAAAAAAAAGAGCCCAGAAAACATTTGTAATTGGAGTACAGGTAAAATTTTACAGAACATAGCAAGTAACAAATCTGAGTTACTTATACAGTTTACATACATAACACGGGCTTTATAAAACAGAAAAACAACACTACTTTACATCTCTTGTCTTTTTCCTTCATATAGATATATAAAAATCAGAAATATAACAACTGATGTGGAATACATATATCAAGCAAATCAGTCAATAGATTGCATGTTCTCCCATTTTTCTTTATAAATTAATTTCTAGCCAAGGAATTAGGTGATTGCTGTTGAATTGCACTATGGAATGACTATTAAATATAAAAGCAAGCAACATTTGTCATTAACAATTATATATGCAGGTAATTGAACAGAAAGAAAATGTATGGATAGTGCCATTTCTGGGGCAAAAAATAAACTTTCAAATAAATATTGCTATCTTTCATCACAATAAGAATATTCAACAAAATTATATATTTTGACAAAACTAAGGCCCAACAATTCAAAGATACACACTTGGTCCCTTCAACAACTAAGTTAAAACTATCACAGACCTACTCTGTAGGCTTCTGGGGTCACAATACCTGATAGCTCCAGGTTTTGACAAAAACCCTACAGCAACTAACAATATATCTCTCTATCATGCTTTGACCTTTGTAATTCTATTTATGTCCATTTATGTCCAACATACTGTAACATCAGCACCACCTCAGGCAAATCCTCATTCCTAACTTTCCACTCATTCAAGATATTTCTAGCAAATCATTCATAAAATACAACATTCTCTGATTGGTAAATATACCTTTTCTACAGATTCTCAAAAGTGACCATGCCCTGCCCTCCAAATCAAGGGACTATTTATCCCATCTGTCTTCTATGCAGTGGTTTGTAGATCAAGTCCAGCTCCGTTATCAACTTCTTTGGAGTTGGTATGAATACATCTGCCTAAATTTTCAGGCAATCACACTTTTATTATCAATAGTGATTATTCCTTGGCCAAGAAGGCAAAGGTTGCCTCAACTTTAGAGGAGAGGTCACCCACTTCTAAACAACAGCCTCCATCTGAATCAAGTCAAGTTACTTTGACTACACAAAACTTTTAACATTAAAATCAATTCCATCTTGGAATTTTTGGTCATCTTAACCACCAACTGTTCAACCCAGACCACCAAATCTGAAAGAACACGAGTCTTGTACAGTAAAGCAACACCGATCCAAACACATTCTCGGGAGTCACTTTCAAGTACCAGATAATGCCCTTCCAGCTATTGATAATCTGTACCTCAAAAATCTAGGTATTATCATTTTAGGTCAGGTAGAAATATGGACTGAACAGATGATGACTAAATTGTCCAAAGAACATCCTCATCTTAAACTGATTGGTACAGTAACATTTGGCTGACAATAGTGAGATCTGTTTCCAGTGAGTTGTCTCCCCTTGAGGTGGGGAGTAGGTGAGACAGTGCTAGAACTGGTACCACTTCTTGTCTTTATATTTTAACATGAGTTGATGCGAAGCAGTAGCATAGCTCTCTGCTTGCAATGCCATCTGTTCTGTCCGCTCACCAAGATCTGACAACTTCTCACCACGCTCAATGAAGGCCTGAAAATTGGAAACCAAAATTATAATTGAAAACAAATGCTGACATAGACATACGGAATTATGTTACAGTTAAACATAAATGAAACTGGTCTTGGTAGCTTATTACTGATACCTACAACAATAATGAAATAATATTGATCATTGTTAAATGATTGATAATTGTTGATAATATCAGCTTCCTGAGCATCACAATATATTGATATTGGTGTTCCCAATGACCGCCCTAGTACACAAAGGTTAGTTATATCTATGAGTTCACACAATAAGCTGTAGATTTATCCATGAACACCGAGACATGTATACAACTGACCTTGTGTGCCCGTCCAACCTCTCCTGTGGCACTTGTGGTCTGTGTTTGTAGATGCTGCATGCCCCCAGTCCCTGGTAACCGTGTTGCCAGTCCCCGTGGGCCCTTCCCACTCATCTCTCCAACTACAACATAATACATCCTTATAAGAACATAACACCATTTTATGATATCTTGTCATGTGACTGTGCAATATCATGTTTATATTGCATGATGATGTGTCAGTCATAGTGGCAACACAAAGGAAATCATGTGAAAATCTCAAAAAAGATGTTCATTTCAAGTTTTAAATAGTTATTGACTGTATCTTTTACCAGTTTTCAGGCTGGCTACAGGACAGCAGAATATGTTTGATATTACTGGCTGAGAAGATTTGAAACATTTCACAGTCAGATATCCACTTAAAACACAATCAAACTAAGATGGGAACATATGCAGGACTGGTGTATTATATATAGGGCTGTGAGGATAACAACAGGTGTATATTGTATACATGGGAATGTACATTGCAAATACAGTGTTAAATATTGGATATTATTAAGATGGACTGTTTAATATAGGGTATTAACATTTTGTAGCTATTTAAGTTGCAATGAACTATAAGTTTTTTACAGCTTTTACTTTAGTAAAAACTGAAGATGTTTTCACTTACATAATTCCTCTCTGTCCAGTGTGGATGTCCCTCCTCCAAACAAACTCTTTAAAAAGCCCTGTTTTGGAGCTTCAGGGGTCTCACATGGTAAAAACAAATCAGCCAACATTTCATTCAGATTATCACTGGAAAAAACAAAGAGTACAACCAATGTCAGACAAAAACCAGCCTAACCAGAAAAGTCCTATAACGGACAATTATTGATATCCCTTAAACAATAGTAGGTTTTCAAGGTGTTAATGTCATCAACAAAACCTGTGACGTCTTAGTTACTATAGTGTAAGAGGGGAACATTAATTAGAAAGCTGAGAAAGATTTGTCAAGTATTTCTTAAAAAAAGAAAAAAATAAAAAAAGAAAAGAAAAAGAGATAAACTACCAATGTCCAAATCCAAGATGGCCATCTGTAAGCCATTCTTTTATAAACCCCAAAATCAAAATGCAACAACTAGAGACTAATGAGAACTATCGGATGAAATTTGAGAAAGAACCGTCCAGTCCTCATGAAATAATGACAAATTTTCTTTGTCAAAATTCAAGATAGCCGTCTCACAGCCATGTTATTTTCCTGATCAGACTTAAAGTGCATAAGTAGGAACCAAAGGGGAAGAAAAAATTACATTTTGCTGAAATGATAGCGAACAGCACAACGAAGGTACTTCACTGTGATGTAAGATCGTGTACTGAGTATTGTTGAGACAGGTACAATATTTTTCAAATTCTAGCTAGGAAACGCTCTGAAATTTGTTGGCATGGTATTTCAGAAATAAAATCTCCCCAAAGAGAAAATGCTCACTAACCTGATATGTGTGTAAGGTTATGTAGGATACATGTTTCATAAATGTGGTATCAGCAAAGAACTGATGATTATTGTTGTTTTAACAGAAGAGACGTACCTTATATCAGCAGAAAAGGACAGTTTCTGGATCTCTGTTGGTGAGCACAAATAACAAGCATGGCCATTACTACTGAAGCCAAATGTTCGGGCTATCCGGAGATCGGTAAGTGGCAGGAAATCCATGTCAAGTAGAGGCTTAAGGCTGGGTAGACTGAACACTGTTATATGACCATTGGCTATATAACATGCTAAACATACACTATCTGAAAATTAAGACAAATCAGTGTTTTTATTCTACCGTCATATGCATAATAATTTACACATCTCAGTATGATTCTAATCAATATGAATGCTTAGTAATGGGTGCCAGGTATACCACTATGAAGATGTTCATTTTACAGCTCTTTGAAATGAAGCAACAGTTAATTTTTTGTTGTGTTCAGATGTTTACCTTGTCAACGTATTCATTTCATTTGTATTCTGTACTGCTTGCATTTTTTTCTGATCTATTTCATATATGTAAATGTTATTCAATAAATCATTTGCACAGACTACTTTTGCAACAAATACTCATAAATATCACTGACAATGACAATACAATATCTTTGTCTTACCAAATCTAATAAACACATCATCTGTGATTCTTGTTTAGTTTTATAGCTCAAACTACTTTCTCAAACCAATGGGTTATTTTCTCAAAATAGAGAACTCTGGTATATCTTGCCAATTCTAAACAAGACCATTGCAAATGGATAAATGAAATGCAAGACTGACTGCTGTAGAAGTACATTCCTGCAGAGAATTAACACATCAGTTAACATCTACGCATATTTGACTGATCAGTAAAGTAGGCCTTTGTGGAAACTAGCGGAAAACTTTGACCAGACTGACAGAGACAAAATCAAGCGAGGATGTATCTTACCATGTAATGAGACTACATATGGCATCTACAATATACCATGATAATATATAATAAGACCTTTACCCTCACTTCAACTTACCATGTAAGGAGACAATATCTACCCTCATCGCAACTTATAATGTAATGCATCACATCTGCTGTCAATACAACTTACCACATAAAAAGATCACATCTGCTCTGAATCCAACTTACCACATAAAAAGATCACATCACATGATGAGATAACATCTTCCCTTATATCACAAAATGAGATCACACCTGCCCTTAATTGATACACCTTACCACAAAATGAGATCACATCTGCTGTTTTACTACAAAATGAGACTACATCTGCCTTAAATTAATACAACATACCACAAAATGAGATCACACCTGCCCATACCTTATACAACTTACCACAAAATGAGATCACACCTGCCCATACCTTATACAACTTACCACATAATGAGATCACACCTGCCCATACCTTATACAACTTACCACATAATGAGATCACACCTGCCCATACCTTATACAACTTACCACATAATGAGATCACACCTGCCCATACCTTATACAACTTACCACATAATGAGATCACACCTGCCCATACCTTATACAACTTACCACATAATGAGATCACACCTGCCCATACCTTATACAACTTACCACAAAATGAGATCACACCTGCCCATACCTTATACAACTTACCACAAAATGAGATCACACCTGCCCATACCTTATACAACTTACCACATAATGAGATCACACCTGCCCATACCTTATACAACTTACCACATAATGAGATCACACCTGCCCATACCTTATACAACTTACCACATAATGAGAGCACACCTGCCCATACCTTATACAACTTACCACATAATGAGATCACACCTGCCCATACCTTATACAACTTACCACATAATGAGATCACACCTGCCCATACCTTATACAACTTACCACATAATGAGATCACACCTGCCCATACCTTATACAACTTACCACAAAATGAGATCACACCTGCCCATACCTTATACAACTTACCACATAATGAGATCACACCTGCCCATACCTTATACAACTTACCACATAATGAGATCACACCTGCCCATACCTTATACAACTTACCACATAATGAGATCACACCTGCCCATACTTTATACAACTTACCACATAATGAGATCACACCTGCCCATACCTTATACAACTTACCACATAATGAGATCACACCTGCCCATACCTTATACAACTTACCACATAATGAGATCACACCTGCCCATACCTTATACAACTTATCACAAAATGAGATCACACCTGCCCATACCTTATGCAACCTACCACAAAATGAGATCACACCTGCCCATACCTTATGCAACTTACCACATAATGAGATCACACCTGCCCATACCTTATGCAACTTACCACAAAATGAGATCACACCTGCCCATACCTTATACAACTTACCACATAATGAGATCACACCTGCCCATACCTTATACAACTTACCACATAATGAGATCACACCTGCCCATACCTTATACAACTTACCACATAATGAGATCACACCTGCCCATACCTTATACAACTTACCACATAATGAGATCACACCTGCCCATACCTTATACAACTTACCACATAATGAGATCACACCTGCCCATACCTTATACAACTTACCACATAATGAGATCACACCTGCCCATACCTTATACAACTTACCACATAATGAGATCACACCTGCCCATACCTTATACAACTTACCACATAATGAGATCACACCTGCCCATACCTTATACAACTTACCACATAATGAGATCACACCTGCCCATACCTTATACAACTTACCACATAATGAGATCACACCTGCCCATACCTTATACAACTTACCACATAATGAGATCACACCTGCCCATACCTTATACAACTTACCACATAATGAGATCACACCTGCCCATACCTTATACAACTTATCACAAAATGAGATCACACCTGCCCATACCTTATGCAACCTACCACAAAATGAGATCACACCTGCCCATACCTTATGCAACTTACCACATAATGAGATCACACCTGCCCATACCTTATGCAACTTACACACACCTGCCCATACCTTATACAACTTACCACATAATGAGATCACACCTGCCCATACCTTATACAACTTACCACATAATGAGATCACACCTGCCCATACCTTATACAACTTACCACATAATGAGATCACACCTGCCCATACCTTATACAACTTACCACATGAGATCACACCTGCCCATACCTTATACAACTTACATCACACCTGCCCATACCTTATACAACTTACCACATAATGAGATCACACCTGCCCATACCTTATACAACTTACCACATACCTTATACAACTTACCACATAATGAGATCACACCTTACCTTACAACTTACCACAAAATGAGATCACACCTGCCCATACCTTATACAACTTACCACATAATGAGATCACACCTGCCCATACCTTATACAACTTACCACATAATGAGATCACACCTGCCCATACCTTATACAACTTACCACAAAATGAGATCACACCTGCCCATACCTTATACAACTTACCACATAATGAGATCACACCTGCCCATACCTTATACAACTTACCACATAATGAGATCACACCTGCCCATACCTTATACAACTTACCACATAATGAGATCACACCTGCCCATACCTTATACAACTTATCACAAAATGAGATCACACCTGCCCATACCTTATGCAACCTACCACAAAATGAGATCACACCTGCCCATACCTTATGCAACTTACCACATAATGAGATCACACCTGCCCATACCTTATGCAACTTACCACAAAATGAGATCACACCTGCCCATACCTTATACAACTTACCACATAATGAGATCACACCTGCCCATACCTTATACAACTTACCACATAATGAGATCACACCTGCCCATACCTTATACAACTTACCACATAATGAGATCACACCTGCCCATACCTTATACAACTTACCACATAATGAGATCACACCTGCCCATACCTTATACAACTTACCACATAATGAGATCACACCTGCCCATACCTTATACAACTTACCACATAATGAGATCACACCTGCCCATACCTTATACAACTTACCACATAATGAGATCACACCTGCCCATACCTTATACAACTTACCACATAATGAGATCACACCTGCCCATACCTTATACAACTTACCACATAATGAGATCACACCTGCCCATACCTTATACAACTTACCACATAATGAGATCACACCTGCCCATACCTTATACAACTTACCACATAATGAGATCACACCTGCCCATACCTTATACAACTTACCACATAATGAGAGCACACCTGCCCATACCTTATACAACTTATCACAAAATGAGATCACACCTGCCCATACCTTATGCAACCTACCACAAAATGAGATCACACCTGCCCATACCTTATACAACTTACCACATAATGAGATAACACCTGCCCATACCTTATACAACTTACCACATAATGAGATCACACCTGCCCATACCTTATACAACCTACCACATAATGAGATCACACCTGCCCATACCTTATACAACTTACCACATAATGAGATCACACCTGCCCATACCTTATACAACTTACCACATAATGAGATCACACCTGCCCATACCTTATACAACTTACCACATAATGAGATCACACCTGCCCATACCTTATACAACTTACCACATAATGAGAGCACACCTGCCCATACCTTATACAACTTATCACAAAATGAGATCACACCTGCCCATACCTTATGCAACCTACCACAAAATGAGATCACACCTGCCCATACCTTATGCAACTTACCACATAATGAGATCACACCTGCCCATACCTTATGCAACTTACCACAAAATGAGATCACACCTGCCCATACCTTATACAACTTACCACATAATGAGATCACACCTGCCCATACCTTATACAACTTACCACATAATGAGATCACACCTGCCCATACCTTATACAACTTACCACATGAGATCACACTTGCCCATACCTTATACAACTTACCACATAATGCCCATACCTTATACAACTTACCACATAATGAGATCACACCTGCCCATACCTTATACAACTTACCACATAATGAGATCACATCTGCCTTTAATACTATACTTACCACATAATAAGATCACAACAGCCTTGTTGTAACTTACCACGTAATGAAACCACATCTGCCCTCACCACAAAGGAAGCATCTGTTATTCGTGTCTTATATGGACAGGTTTGAGAAGGCAGGGACACTACCTGTAATATTTTTATAATAAAACAATTTCATTAAACTTTGTAAAAAAAACTTAGTTAGAAATTAAGAGTGCTAACTTATCATTTGTATTTTCTAATCACAGTGGTAGGAGTTCAACATGTAAGTATGTTAATATTGTACTTGTATGAACATGTAACACATCAAAAAACTGTTCAACAATCTTCAGTTTAAAGCTGACCTGGTTCAAAACCCAATCATAGTTTGTGTATACATTTGTATTAAATTTTTATAGCTTGGCATAGAGGCGATGAATTTAAACTATCTTTTCTGTGAATGACCATAAATTGAACTTCAGCTGAAAAACTTCACACAATGACCAACTGTGTGAAGATCCACTAAAATCAGCAAAGTGATTCACCTGGTGTTGTTTGACAGATTTTGGAAAATAGTTATTTTGAGCCATACTTACCATGCACATCATCAAATTTAAAGACTTGAAGCAAGGATAACATAAACCATAAAACTTAATCTAGATCTATAATATCCTTTACCTAATGTGCTACAGACAGTTGGTTAAATGTTAATGAACAAAGGGCTTGACTGGGTAATGTCTTCATATGTATGCTTTGGCATTACACATACAAATACAAAATAATGTTTTTTATACTCATCGTTATTGTAAAGGTTTTGGTTTTAAAATGAACCTAATAAATACACGATAAATCCCAATACTTACCCTTGCTTGTTTTTCTGAGCAGATTATGGCATATTGTTTATCACTGATTTCTGTTGACGGGGATGGAGAGATTCTTGGCTTTGGAGTGGTAGGTGTTGGATCTGTTGACAGAGAAAAACATCTTCTAGTAATGCTTCAATGCTTATGCAAAGAAAACTGATGTTTTCTTCAGTCGTCATAAGAACACTGCTATAGCAGAACGAAGAGCTAGAAATGCCAGTAGAAAGGGTCGGTCTGGTATTGTTGGTGCAGGGTGACTTTGAATTATGTATAATGCATGAATAACAAAACTGTCTGGCTCACGACTTGTATTGCAAAAGAAAGAAAAAACCCAATAAAATGTGTAACATACACAAAAATATAGCCTGTTTCCTTAACAACCAGGATATCTATTTCTCTGGCAAAAAGTTTGTTTCACTAATAAGTAGCACATCTTCTTTCACTACCAGCAAGGACCTATACTTCCCTAACACAAAAGTGTGGTTTGTTTCACCTGCAATCACGATGTCAGTCTCCCTAACACAAAATTGTTGCTTGTTTTAACTACAATCACAATGTCTGTCTCCCTAACACAAAATTGTTGCTTGTTGCACCTACCATCACAATGTCTATCTCCCTAGCACAAAAGTGTGGTTTGTTTCACTTACAATCACAATGTCTGTCTCCCTAGCACAAAATTGTTGCTTGTTTCACTAACAATCACAATGTCTGTCTCCCTAGCACAAAATTGTTGCTTGTTTCACTAACAATCACAATGTCTGTCTCCCAAACACAAAATTGTTGCTTGTTTCACACACAATCATGATGTCTATCTTCCTAACACAAAAGTGTGGCTTGTTTCACTAACAATCACAATGTCTGTCTCCCTAGCAAAAAACTGTTGCTTGTTTCACTAACAATCACAATGTCGGTCTCCCTAACACAAAAGTATGACTTGTTTCACACACAATCATGATGTCTGTCTCCCTAACACAAAATTGTTGCTTGTTTCACACACAATCATGATGTTTATCTCCCTAAAAGTCTAGCTTGTTTCACTAACAACAACCTGACTTGTGTCTCCACTTACTTCTATCTCGTTTCTCTTTGTCCTTGCTTTCCTTCTTCTCCTGCCACTGTTCAAACTGTGTGGGGATCAAAGTACCCATACAATCCAGGAAAGACATGGTTAATACTGAACCCTTCAGTCGGATTAACGTACCTGTACAAATACACATAGGATACTGTAAAAACCTAACTGGGGCTGTGGCCACAAAAATACTATAAGCGTAATTAATTTAGGGCAATCAAATTAAGTACATATCACTTTCCGGCAAATTAAAGCAATGATGAGTTCACATGTCAGTAATTACTGCTATATATAAACAATATCTAGAAACAATAATTAGTGCCATCATACTTTAGCACGATACTTTCAGCACAAAAAGCAAAATAACCACTATAATATATACCGGTATGTTTACAGTATGTGGTGTGGATTGAGAGAAGGTAAACGGTTGGGCTAATATGAAAACATGGTTGTGTTTATGGTTAAACTAAATGTACTTGTCTTCATGCCAATTGTACATATAGCCAAAATTTATTAGTGAATCATTTTCACATACATCATTATTCTAGTCCAACTGGATGTATAAAATTCCACTATTGGAGCAACAGCCTTAAAAGCCACACAGATAATTCATATAATTTGTTCAACATAAAATGACCATGGCTTTGTGTGCCTCTCTGATGCCCCTTGTGAAAGTTGACATAATGTGTGATGGGCGAGTTAAGAGACGTATTTCACTGGGTGACACTGTGACAGGTTGCGTGCCTCTCTGATGCCCTTGTGGAAGTTGACATAATGTGTGATGGATGAGTTAGAGAGCTATTTCACTGGGTGACACTGGGACAGGTTGCGTGCCTCTCTGATGCCCTTGTAGAAGTTGACAGAGTGTGTGATGGATGAGTTAGAGACGTTTATCACTGGGGGACACTATGACAAGTTGTGTGCTTCTCTGGTCTCCATGTAGAGGTAAATTTAGTATGTTCATGGGAAGGTAAAGAGAGACTTACCACTGGGGGACACTATGACAGGTTGTGTGCCTCTCTGGTCTCCATGTAGAGGTAAATTTAGTATGTTAATGGGAAGTTAAAGAGAGACTTACCACTGGGGGACACTATGACAGGTTGTGTGCCTCTCTGGTCCCCTTGTAGAGGTAGATTTAACACTATCACTATAACTGAACCTAAACTGGTTCCTACCCATAGACACGGACTTGTAAAATTATCTGTAACAAAAATAATTTCAACAATATATTGGATTGATTGATTAAACCAACATAAATATAATATAAATATATGAATTTTGACATATTTAGAACATTTTCTTTAGGCTAGCAACATCAATTGAATAGAAGTTCTTATAACACAACTAGTAGAAGATTAGCGTGATGTTTCGATGACTACACAGATTACACAACACATTACAGACCAAGTGTTAAACAAAGCATAGCTGAATTGACACCAACTGACTATAATCTGTTTACTATAATGTCACTCTACTTTCAACCTTAGCGTACATAGGATTATAGTATGTCAGTGCTAGTACGCTCCACTCTGGTCATTTGTCTGATGAAGGTGACCATGAAGTCATCAAAATGTCACCCTCTAATCTTCTACTGGTTGTGTTACAAGAACTTCTATTTCATTGAACTTTGACAGAATTTTATCTAATAGATGATCACAAACAACAGATCTGTTAGATTAGACTCTGACTTGTTGTTTGACTATCTTAGCCAAGTTTTCCAGACTTCACAATCGCTTTAAGAAGATGTATAGGTTATCATCCCAGACTTTCATGTCCTGGTCAAATTCAGAGCAGTTCTTAATCAACAATAAGTGCTTCTGAGAGGGGAAAAATGTTGTAATCCTAAGTCATTACCATTTTATAATTAGACAACACACTAACAAAATAAAATAGACCTGTTTTTCTAGCATAGGAATCTGCAAACACTAAAGACTGGATAGCCTCCCTTGAAACATTTTCTAGACTTGACATGCTAGAACTCCGAGACCTTGAAAAGGATGCCCCGTCAGATTTATCTGAAATTCAAATCAGTATAAAAACAAAATAAAAGAAATATCACAGTCATAATAAATTGTCACATTTCAAAACTTGAGAGCTTTCAATTACTTAGCTTGATTTCATAGTTATTCAATCTTTTTATTCATTTGCAATTCTTTAACCCATTAACAGCTTTTAAAATCTTTAACATAAATAATGATCAGTAAAATTTAAAAGATATTATTTTGACAATTTATAAATCATTTGCCTGAAAAAAATAACTGGAAATAGTTAACAACTTAGCAATGTTTAAAAGTTACAAGAATAATACAATGTTACCAACTTATCTTTCTAAATAGAATATTGATGAATTCACCAGGAAATGATCCTTTCTCTTTCCATATCATTTACAAGGGGCTTCAATATGGAAAAATTTGGTTGTGCAAGAAGTAGGGCATATGGGAAAAGTCAAAATTGACTAAGCTGGAGTTTGGTAAATGGACAAAATGGATGTGTTGAAAAAGATACCATAATTGTATATTAACATTATAGGGCTGAATGAGTGATGCAAGAAGATAAAGAAATGAATTTAACATATTTCAACAGATATTTGTCATATACAAGTGTACACAGCTTGATCTCATTGTCACCATATCATATACCATAAAATCCTCATATGTGTTTTATTTTAGCTTGTGGAAAAACCTATGTAAACAAAATCCCATACAATCATAATTACATACATCATTTCTAAGACAGTACAGCTAAAAAATGTTTATTTCCTAAAATTGTTGATTATTAAATAATTCTTGTAACATTTAGCAAATTTACGAACTGAGAAAAATGACATTCACAATTAAATATAAAAAGTATGAATGAAATCTTATGTATGGCATGCTAGATAACGTAAGAGCTGGTAAACACCTTACTGTTATCTTGCCATGAATTAAGAGTGAGAGAGGTGCTTTTTTTTTTACTGCCGATGGGATAAGCTTTGTTTAAAATCACAATGACCAGGTCTAGCAACTTTCATAAATGTGAAATGTTAAAATGAATATTAAAAAATAACGGTCAAATTTCATTACCAAAGAATGTTTGCTTCAGATAAACACAGTTGTAGTTACTTTCTTTATAAATCATACACTCATCCCTGAGAGGCAGTGTTTGAAATATCAGGGAAAATTGTCATGCCAAATAAAGTTTTTTTTTTTTTTTTAATTTGGCTTGAAGTTGTAGAAAATGACAGATTCATAAAAACACAATCATATTAGAAATATAATAAAGGGAGTCAACTGTGTTGCTTTTAAAACATGCTTGTGACCTTGTAAGTTTATTTTCATGCAAAAACTGTTATAAACATCATGCTGAAAAAAATAGCTGTGCATTAGTGTGATGAAAACTAGAAAAAAGTCATTAATGTTATAATAATTACTCTATCCCATTTATAACGAGCTTGTCCCATTTTAACCTTGTACCAGCAGAAGAGCCTGTGGCCTGCTGCACAAATTTATATTCCATACCTAAGAGATTTTTAGCTGTGGTAGCATTTACCTGACTATAATCAGACCCCTATAGCATCAGATTTTGCATCTGACACATTTTAACGTGTTGAAATATTAATCAAAATTGAAGAATGGTTTGGTATTAAAAAAAGTTAAACGACAATTAGACAATCCCTGCTGAAACAGACTGCTTCACTGAATGATTTGTTTAATTTCATATTTTGAAGTTTAAAAGATTTCAAAGTCTGATTATTGAACTTTTTTTAAAAGTGAAATTCAAATATATAAGAGTAAGCCAGCTTCTGTAAATAGAATTGAACTGATCAATTTCAGCAGGGCTTGTAGAAAAGGGTTTTGCTGAGGAAAAGAGGATGTTTTCTTCTTGTTTGACTTACCACAACACATGTCAGGTCTGAGATAGACTGAGGGGTGACAAAAAACACACACAGTTACACACAGTGACGCACCCTTACACGCATACCCAGGCACGTCCCATGAACTGCACCATTCACACCGGGGTGTCCTGGTCAGTGTCAGATGGGCAGTGCAGGTGTTTATAATCCATTACACCTTTTCAATTACATTTAACCGGGAACTTTTAAATCAATATTAAATGATTATTATAAAATCTTTTTATCACATCTATCAAGAAGTTACATGTGATTGGTTTATTTACTAACAATTGACACGCCACAAAATAACATAAAGGTACACAATGATATCTGGGTTAATTCTTCCTTATAGGAGTTAATGAAAATGGTCAGAGAAAAGATAGAAAAAGCAATTTTTGTTGAATCCTCCAAAACATACAGGGAACATACAGGTGATATGTCAGATTTTAGAGGAATTATTTAAAGCTACAGCAAAGTATAAATTTCCCACCTGAACTAAAATTCAACATGAAATGATTAATTTCTTAAACTATCAGTATTTCATCATAGATAACCACTGGAAAAGATTGTTCAGCTAGGACAAATATACAATAAGAGAATTACTGGTTCATTCCATTACAAAAGGCATTTTGGACCTGTATTGCTCACTTGGTTGGTATTAAAACTCGTTTAATTACAGTTAAGAAATGTTGTGGCCTTCTGGCATTGATTGTGGGGTAATTAATTAAATACAATTTATATTGCCCTCCCTTGACCTCATCTCCATTAAGAACTGCTGCAATATCTTCTGATGGCTTCTTTCACCTTTTGCAAATAGATTGAGCGGGTCCACATATAAGTACTCCCCGTTTCATATCAGATAATTTTAGCACACTACTTAATGTGACCATGAATACAAGTATACTTCATTAACTGATCAAATATCCATTTCTAAATAAAGCTACACACTGATTACCATAGTTCAGCTATCATGATTTCTTGCAACTTATTTTAAAAAGTCTACACATCTGACCCGTGACCTTGAATTTAGGTCAAGGACACTAATTATCTTTGAGTACAGCAAGCTACAAGTAAAATATCATGACATTATGTCTACTGGTTGTTGGGAAGACATCCATTGAGTATTCAAAAAACACTTAACCTTTAGAACTGTGAGTTTGACCCAGTTTTTTTTAAAGGAAATTACCATAGCAAGCTTCTATATTAATGGACACTGTGATTCTTGTTGAAATACTTTTTTTTTGAAAGCAGTCATCTTGCATATAGGCCCAGGTCATTTACAAAATACACTTAAAGAAATCTGACTGCCCTGAACTACAGCTTCACCAGAAGACGGAGGGCACTGCACAATGGTACCAGTTCACAATATGTGAGATCAGAACAGAATTAGACAAACTGTTAAATAAGGATTGATGAATTCTGAATTGTTCGTTTGGATAACAGTCATCCTATTTAGACATTTTCACATTCTTTCTACAGATTATTGATGATCATCACTATAAAGAATAAGAAACATTATAAGTGTATGTGACTACTACCATCCAATTATACCTAATTCACCACATTCTTACCAATTATAGCATATCCCCAAAACATGCAAAATATGTAAAGCATTGAATGAGAATATTCTTTAAATAAATCCTAGGATAGCTTTGACAAAAAACACTTTTAACAAAAGCTTAATTTGGAATACTTTGCCATCTTAATAATAAATAAAATTAGTACATGTTTTACCACCTTACAAATCATGGAAGTTCTTTTATGATCTTTCTGACATTTATCAAAGTCAGTCTAAAATCTTTAGGTAAGTTAAAACTACACCAAGTATAAAAACAGAATGACACATATATAAAATTAATCTACTTCTATTTTGGAGTCAACTTAATTTTTTTTCCAAAAAATGTATAAGTTAATGATCAAGATGATGAAAATGTAGTTACATTGGTAAATAGGTTTGTGTATTATAGTAGTTGTATCTTCCTTTTTGACCTTCAATCTTAGGCCAGCAGCACAAACTTCTACAGACTGTACACACTATATATATAGCATACACTTTAACTAGATGGCTGCTTTCTTGTTTAAAAAAGCTAACTTAAAACACAACACAGAAATATTCCAACTGTTTGATTGAGTAGCCACGATACCTTCTATCGTAATTAACTTGCTTAAGAGATACATCTTGTAAAGCAATATAACAGATAACTTCATAAATAGAAGTTTAAATCATGTATGGCTTCCCCTAATTACGTTGTTGGTTATCATTTCTCAAATTCCCAAATATGGATTGGTGATGTTTTCTACAAATAAAACTTTATATACTGTATCATCGTTTTCAGATTTGAAATTGTTACTCAAATGTGTCCTGAGCCAGTTGAAATATTTCCAATCCACAACAAACAACAACCAAAAGAACAAAACCCTTCCAATCTACTTCAATATTGATTCCCAATTTCCTGAACGTAGACACTTATATGATCAATCGTTTATCATCAATCAGAACAAAATTATCTATCATTTATCTTCAAGAAATTGGGAAATACACAATGCTAAACATCTCTAAGGGACTGCAAAATGATTGAGTTGTTAAAAGGTTTTGAACTAGTTTATCAGACTAATACTTAACATCAATGAGTGAATTAAGAAATATTTTAATCAATTATATAAAAATAAATCTGCTATTCTAACAGTTAAAGGCAAATATAAAGACAGAACAGTCATCTTCTTAATGCTTAGTAGACTCTTAACAATCTTTATCTATTAAGGGTCAATTTTTTTTGCAATCAAAAAATTTGATTGTACCACTAGCATGAAAAAGTTCTGGTCATCATAAATTTTTAACTTAGCCAAAAAAAAAACCCCAATTGGTTCGGCTGTTATTCAATAAAATTTCATGTACAATGGAAGTGACCATGCATGGGACATGAACATTTGGCCAGTATATGGAGGATTCTGTTTTCACCATTTTGACTCGGATATAATTGAATAGATTCTGTTATGAAAACATTACATTGATCATCTGTTTGCTTTAAGACAGAAATTCAGAGGGTAGAAATGTTTTGATAAATTGAGAAAACAAATTTTAAAAATCCAACGATATGTGTATACAATATGTGAATTCATTTAGAAAAGAAATTTGCTTTGTGCATTGCCCAGCAATGTTGGCACTTACGTTACACATGGCAGAGCCTGGCCTCTTGTCCCATAGCTGGTGTTAATAAGATGTGAAACTGCAAACTTTTATTATAATGAAGAGACCACCATTCCCTACACTGCCATTTCATTTGGTAACAAGAGGTGATCAGTTGGGGGTAGTTTCATTGCATTTTGTTGGCATTAAAAGTAAGTGTCAAATGAAAACAAATGACAAATTTCTAAGTAAAGAACCTCTCACAGACAAAAGTCCAACAGTTTCATCATCTCAGCAGGGTCCATTTTAAACTTATTTTAAATCTTAACACTAACAATTTTTATGAAAAAAAAACAACCCCAAAATATGATGATTTTAAAAGATTGCATATAATGACGGAAGAAAGAGAGACAGAGGTTAAGAGAGACTGCGTTCTGTCTATGAATGGAAATAAACATTACCCTTTAATTGACCCAACACTAAAAGTTTTAAGCTTTAACACTATAAAGGTTATAAAGATCATTGAGTCTACAGCTAATCTAGAATATTTCTGGCCAGCCATTCATGAAACAATCTGAACATTTAGTCACAACATTTGTTTCTTCGAAAAGTTTGTTTAACATTGTTTCACGAAATTCTGCATGTTCAAACAAGAGTCAGTTTATGTTTTATCTAAAAGTTTGAAATCCTACTGCATCTTCAAGTTATACGAAACACACAGTGCAAAATTTATATCTACAAAAGAAGTTACCAAAAGAATTAAGAATTATAAATAAAAATTGTGACATTAAAAAGACATTAATCAATCTGTGAGACGAGATTCATGGTGATTAAGTGATATCATAATAACTACAATTTTAGCGATTTTGTTTGACTTAGGATCAAAAATGTTTCCTGACTGGTAGGCATGCTATCTGTAAGAGTTTGGAAGGGTTTTGGTTTTTCAAAAACTAATTAAGTAGGGTGAGCAGAAGCACCTCCTCCATTTGTTTCCTCCATCGACGCCACACTCTGTGCCTTCTGAAGTTTTCGGTTGCCTTGCGACCTTGTCCGCTTCAGCTCGGGAGGATGTGGTCGTTTTTGCTTTAAGCAGGTTGGACTCATACACACACCATTTATCTAGTAATGAAGTTGCGGGGAGAAAAAAAAAAAGGACAAAAAAAAATTGAAAATTTCTCACCACCAAAATAACACCTGTTGACATCAAGCAAGTTCTCATCTGGAAGTTTATTTTAAAGATTACAACTTCCTCATGAAAATTTGCATTTAAAATGAATAAAGGTTTTGAATACCATACCTGATGCATAACTGTACGCCTAGCATTAGTATAAATAGTTAGTTAAAAAAAAAAGGGTGATAGGGAGGTCTATTTCCTTTCTACATTATATATGTATAATACTACCAGGGACGGGAAAACCAAAGCTAGATCAGCTAACACACCAAAGGATTGGAAAGCCAATACTTACAAGCAAAGTAGGAACATAGGTTAAAGCTGCACACAAAAGAAGGGAGACAATCACAAAAAAAGAGCATGCATCTACATGAAGTTGTCATGCTACCCCATCAGAAGGATCTGTCAGTTGCCCTTCATCCCATGTAGATTACCTTCAGCAGGTACAATTGACTTAAGAAGGTACTCTTAATACCAATCTAACAATTTGTTTTGTTTTAAACCCAAAGGTGTCCCCCATTTCAATGAGACAAAGATGCTGAAGATAATCTAGTACAGACTAAACTACCCTCTATAACTAAAATGAAAAAAAACACACGTTAGTCCTATGTCAGACGTCGTGCCTTGTTTATTGCATGCATTTACAATTTGGGCCACATTCTCTTACCCTGAAAAATCCAAGAGAAAAAAGAAGAGATGGAAAAAATATTGTAAGGAAAAAGAACAACCGCATGTACATTACAATCAAACAAACGATACAAAGACATGATCATTAGTCGTGTGCAATGAGAAATACATATTGTATATATACAAGCTCCAGGTCAAGTCATCCAACCAAAACAAGGGGTTATAAGGGAACAAATATATGATGAGATGCTGAAACGACAGAAAGATGGTGTGAGAAAAGGTGAGTTATTTAGTTAGCTAGCAGCTATATCGTCAGCAGTAGACATACCAATCCCGCCTCCATGACATATTTCTTGAACAGACATCTGACGAATGACGGTCTTTCCTTTATCATCTGACAGGTCAATGACCTCAATCTTAGGATGAGTCCTCTCCTCATTCTCCTTGCCCAGCACTATGGATTTGACTTTAACACTCATCCTACGTAGGAAGCCCCCAGAGTGAACACTAGGGTCAACATCATATGTATCACCATGAGAATCAACATCCTCTTTCGCACCCCCATTTTCAATGCCTTCATCTCCTGAGTGATTGAGATGGGGGTCAATTTCTTCATTTGTCAATGACAGATCGGTCAAATTTGGGGGTTTGACTTTTGATTTCTTTCGTGAAAATTTAAATCCTTTCATTGAAAGTTTTCGATGTCTGTGATGGTCTTTTTGAACTTCAACAGAGGATGTTGTTTCTACTTCAGGGTCAGAGCATGACCTTTCCCGATTCAGTGGAATATTGTCCTGATTTTGCGATAGTTCAAATGCATGACGGATACGACTTGGGTCGGACAGCGTTTTGCAAGCTGGTTGTTTCTGCACAATCTTTAGTGTATTCTCTGAATTTGACTTATGTGGATTTAACAAGGAGAAATGCAGGTGTTGTTTCGAGTCTGGCATAGAAATCCTACGATGTCTTGGGGGCCTAGTTGGGACTGGTTCATCAGCTATATTTTCTATTTCCTGTAGCATTGATTGGTCCTGCATGTTTGTGCGCATCTCTTTGTTATTATTGTCCAGATCTTCTGCCATTGTAGCTTCCTCTGCACAATTAATGTCTTTAACGATAAATTGAGTTTCTTTGTAAGCGCTATCCTGAGTAGTACTCTCCTGTATGGCAGTGAGACCAACATCGGAATGGGAGTGTATTTTCTTTCTTGATAGGTTGGGGTTTGGGCTGGAGGGGGGGCTAGACTGAAAACATCAGAAAATAAAACAACAATGGAAAACAAAATTGAAATCAAACTAAAAAGAAAAATAAATGAAATTAAAATATGAATGCTTTAAAAATAATAAAAACTAAACAAAGCATGTTGAGCACAGTTAACATAAGGTAAGGTGCAATGTGATTTCTACTGGAGAGACTGACAAGACAAAAATATTTCTGATTAAATATAGAAAACATTCTTGGATGATGTGGGGCTAAGCCAGCTATAAGCACACTGCGACATGTAAACATCAACATTATACAAAAGCATAGCAACAAGGAATCAAATAAACTGAAAAACCTCATCAAAATATCCCTGGCAATACGAGTTTCTCATTCTCTGCAGATTAATCCCAATGTGACAGTTCTTTGTGGAGATGATAATAACAAAATGACCAATAATAAAAGCCAACAAACTAAATTGTATATTTAAATTGTTATGCATCTACAAGCCAGCAAATTGAAAGATAATTAATAAATCAAATAAGAATAATTAAAAGCTGCCGAAGAAAAAAAAACTCAATAGAACCCCTCAAGGACTGGAGTTGTCTCCCTTGGATTGGGGCTTTCTCCATTGAAGATGATTTTCACACACTTCTAAACATGTCTAAATACATCAATCAATAGTAGCAATATTTCATCTCTGAAAAAATTGCAATCATTATGAGTATAACTGATTACAAATTTATCTTCTTACTCCATGTAATTGACAATCACAGGCTGTAATCCTAAGTACAATCCGACCATCTACCTAATCACAGAGCATTGTAATTCTTCACACGTATACTTCCTATGTTCCAGAGACATGGTATCTTTTACATTGTGATATGTTTTGATATTCACCTCATGAGGTACAACAATGGCAGCAGATGGAGTTGTCCTAGATAAGTATACAGCAGATATTTTTGGCTCTAAGGTATTGTTAGAGGCACAACCAACTGGAATTGTACCATTTTTTTTTTAATTTTTTTTAATGTAAATCTGTATCAATGTGACCAATAACAGTAACAATTCATTTTTCTTAAAATTGTATCAGTTGTGTATCAAATAAACTTGATTCTTTAAAAACATTTTTCTCTTTATACAGCGACAGAGTATACCAACATAGAAATACTACAACAGAATATTGGTACACGGGACTTTCAGAACAGGAGTCCAGAGAAACATACTAGAATATGACCTTGACTTTTGGAATGTAGACATATGTACTGTAAGTAATGCATTATCATAATACACAAAAAGGTTAATTGGTTTAGACATTTCTGTACAAGGATATATACCCTGATATCCTGAATAGAGTATAATTCAGACTTTTGTATATCAAAATCAAGGTTGCAAAAGAAATAATAGCAGTGTGTTGATAAACGAGAAGTTGCAAGAACAGCCATCTATGGAGGAAGAAGTTGGAAAATTAAGAATTGTGATCAGATGTGAAGAAATAGCCGATACAATTTTTTTTTCTCGATGACCGATTCATTAAGTGTTACAAACATGTAGCACTTCCACAATGAAATTTGAAGGAAGGTCACATCTACTTATAGTTACAGCAGTCATTGTCGCAGGCTACAAAGTAATACTGATTAACGAAGCTGTAGATTTTACACATGCATCATTACAACTGATGCCATCTTGTACCCCATGGTGTGATACCAATCTACACACATACACAATTTATCTATTTCTAACCTGTATTGATGATTAAACTATGCTGTTAATTGATGCAGCAAGCTTCAAAATGCACTTGTTAGTCATTTCCACTACTTCAGTATGACAAACAAAATTGCAAAATTAATATGCTATTTTTCTTTCAATGTTAGTGATGGCAAGCAATCAAACAGGTTCAGTTCTAAATGACTTGATATGAGTTTAGATTTATTATTAAATTGCATTGCATCAAATCAGGCCAAAAAGGTAAGTTCCATCTACAAGCTTGTTAATTTTGATCTAAGAATCATTAATAGGTGAGATCTGTACTGACAACAATCTGTTACACTCTTTCAGATAGAGCTCATACCAAGTCTTGTAGAGGTTAGTCTGCATGTTAAGCAGAAGCCATATACATAAGTATGCTTAAAATGCCTAATCAAAGCAATCCTATCTTTCCAATCTAACTTCAAATAATCTGAATAAAATGGAGTTCCAGCTCTCAAATTCAGCTTTCAATAATTGGAGTAGTTTGAGCTCTCAAATTTTAACTTTAAATAATTGGAATTCAAATTAATCCTAACCCTCAAATTTAACCGCCATTAGAATTTGCATAGTCCTTGCTCTGAAATTTAACCTCCAATAGTCAGAATTTGATTAATCCTAGCTTTTAAATCTAACCTCAAATGGCTACAAATAACTGTTTTTGGTGTTTAACAAGCTGCCAAGTATTTATTTATTTATAATTTAGACCTTATTAATTTATTCAGCTTAATATAGATTGATCATATTCAATCAAAATCTATTGAATACCAGTTGGGTAGATATTGACATAACTTAATGTATTCAATATTGTAAAGTAGCCATTCAAAACAAATCAACATCAAACATATCTTTCAATGTAGCAATGAATATTAAATCTTATTCAATGCAGTTCTGGTAAGTTAAGAACAGCTGCTCATAGTTTAATTCAAAGAGAATTTTGATATGGTGAATGTCAACACTTATGTAATATTTCTTCTAACAAAAAAACTTGATTTACAGAGATATCTACCACAGTACATCTATATTGGATGTAGTGAGATATCTACCACAGTACATCTATATTGGATGTAGTGAAATATCTACCACAGTACATCTATATTGGATGTAGTGAGATATCTACCACAGTACATCTATATTGGATGTAGTGAGATATCTACCACAGTACATCTATATTGGAAGTAGTGAGATATCTACCACAGTACATCTATATTGGATGTAGTGAGATATCTACCACAGTACATCTATATTGGATGTAGTGAGATATCTACCACAGTACATCTATATTGGATGTAGTGAGATATCTACCACAGTACATCTATATTGGATGTAGTACACAGTACATATATTGGATGTAGTGAGATATCTTCCAAAGTACATCTATATTGGATGTAGTGAGATATCTACCACAGTACATCTATATTGGATGTAGTGAGATATCTACCACAGTACATCTATATTGGATGTAGTGAGATATCTACCACAGTACATCTATATTGGATGTAGTGAGATATCTACCACAGTACATCTATATTGGAAGTAGTGAGATATCTACCACAGTACATCTATATTGGAAGTAGTGAGATATCTACCACAGTACATCTATATTGGATGTAGTGAGATATCTACCACAGTACATCTATATTGGATGTAGTGAGATATCTACCACAGTACATCTATATTGGATGTAGTGAGATATCTACCACAGTACATCTATATTGGATGTAGTGAGATATCTACCATTGGAAGTACATCTATATTGGAAGTAGTGAGATATCTACCACAGTACATCTATATTGGATGTAGTGAGATATCTACCACAGTACATCTATATTGGATGTAGTGAGATATCTACCACAGTACATCTATATTGGATGTAGTGAGATATCTACCAAAGTACATCTATATTGGATGTAGTGAGATATCTACCACAGTACATCTATATTGGAAGTAGTGAGATATCTACCACAGTACATCTATATTGGAAGTAGTGAGATATCTACCACAGTACATCTATATTGGATGTAGTGAGATATCTACCACAGTACATCTATATTGGATGTAGTGAGATATCTACCACAGTACATCTATATTGGAAGTAGTGAGATATCTACCACAGTACATCTATATTGGATGTAGTGAGATATCTACCACAGTACATCTATATTGGAAGTAGTGAGATATCTACCACAGTACATCTATATTGGATGTAGTGAGATATCTACCACAGTACATCTATATTTGATGTCCTGAGATATCTACCACAGTACATCTATATTGGATGTAGTGAGATATCTACCAAAGCACATCTATATTGGATGTAGTGAGATATCTACCACAGTATATCTATATTGGATGTAGTGAGATATTTACCACAGAACATCTATATCAGATGTAGTGAGATATCTACCATACTTCATCTATATTGGACGTATAGTTTTTTGCTCTAGTATATCTATATTTGATTAACAGAAATATCTTTGTACAATCTGTCAAAGATGAATTAAACCGCCTACATTAACAATTACTGATTAATGCAGCAATAATAAAAAGTTAATGCTTTTTCTTCTTTTTTTTAAATGTATTCCAATTTGTGTATAATTTCATTTTTTTCATTTTCAGAAAATGAAACCAAAAAGTGTGTGTTGTGAATTAAGCTATGATGCAGCAGTTTTATTTATTTATCCTTAGTTACATCACATCATTTCAGCATGTCCTATCCAGAATACCTATAGATCACTTACTTGGTCATTGATGGGGGAGCGACACCCATCTTCTGTTCCTGATCCATCCGTATTTGGCTGGGGAAACTTTTTGCCCCTTGGGGACCGAGGAGCCCGCTGATAAGGATCCATTGACCCTTTTAAAAAACGAAAAAATTCTTCAGCTAATATAAAGTCACAAAGGCTTCAAAGGCATTGATTATGTATGTGCATAAACTAGGGAAGCTGTGATTTGACCGTATTAGTGGAATTATTTGCACTTGACAATTTCTGTTCTTTACAACTTCATCAAGAGAAGATACCGGAAGGATTTATCGATGGAAGCCACTTTTTCTATGGCCTGGATGTAAATATGAGTTGGAACAGTTTGTGACTGTACCCACAAGTTAATAGAAGAGGTATTGTGTCAGTGCTATTTTACACAGAGCAGATTATAGTTATAATGAAGTTTTAAAATCTTTAATGTGGAGTGAGTCTCAATCTGCAGACCATTTCCTACTGATCAGTGAATTTGCTTTCTAGATACAGTTCTTTATTCAAGAAAAAGATTATTAAGCTGGCAGCTGTCTGGTACATCAAATAGGTAATAATTTCCTTAAGACCATATATGAACCATATCCTATTCATTCGCACAAGTCCTGTCTCTGTATCACAAAAATATAGTAAATATTGTTGACAAGTGGTTTATGGGCCTAATAGTATTTGTGTTGTAAAGCTTGTTAAATTGCACCTAGCCTATTTCACAGATGCTAACATGTATGATGTTATTTCACTGATGACATATAACAGTGCACTAGTCAAGGTGGCAGACCAACAATAACCTGCTGATGGGATACCATAACCATTTCATTTAGAAATACTTGAATCAGTTTTATTTTGGTCACACATGATTACTGAAATGATGCGTACAATTATACAGGAATCCAGAGAAAATTTTTACATCAGTGACCTCAAAAATATCTTTAACGACAGATACAGATTATGAACAGCTTTTCAATATATACAGCTTAAGCACAGACTATGGTTGGTATAATTAGAATGTGTTATGGAAATGATCGTTGAATAAGACCGTCTAAAAAAATTCTGACATGGAATAGAGGAGAAGGTGTTCAGTCACTTACCATATAAATCAGGTGTCCCCAAATTTAGCAAACATGTTTTCTGTAGATAATCTATTATTGCAAGCCCAGATTCGTTACCAAATGCAAGTCTGTAAATAAGATACAGATTAATATAAAGATTACACAAAGTCAAACATACATGTCTGTAAAACACAAGATGATGTATATTAACCTTCAGTCTTGTAACAGTAGTGATCAACAGTACTTTCTACCATACTGTCTATATGAATGGTCTTAAAAATTAAAATGAATGAAATCATTACAGGCCCTGTCAATGCATACACCAACTATGAACATTAGCAGGCCCTGTCTATTATATTGACAATAAACATCATCAGGCCCTGCCCATGTATGTGATAACAATAAACATTTCTCAATGTATACCACATCTTCAGCTGACCCTGACCATGGGTATATCAACTACAAACATCAACAGGTCCTGTTCATCTTTATGGTAACTACAAACATCAATAGGCCCTGTTCATGCATATGTTAACTACAAACATCAACAGGTCCTGTGTATGCATATGTTAACTACAAACATCAACAGGCCCTGTTCATGCATATGTTAACTACAAACATCAACAGGCCCTGTTCATGCATATGTTAACTACAAACATCAACAGGCTCTCTTTATGTATATGTTGAATGCAAACATTAGCCAAGATCAAACAGTGCCTGATATTCTACATTTACTTACAAACCATAGGAAGAATTCATGGAAATATTTGTGATGTTGCCTGGGTGTTCGTTGTCCAGCCAGTTGAGCAGACACACAAGATCAGGGTAAAAGCCTGCACTGTACTTCTTGCTGCCCGGCCGCACCTTTAATGACGTTCCCGTCTCTATCTGCAACACAACAGAAACAAGTGTAATCACGTCCACAAAAGTATGCCGTATTACGAAAGTATGCAATATTTTGACAATTTCAAGTCGTGCAAAACAGTATGCAATATATAACAATTTCTGTTGTATAAAATTAACGTTTAACATATGTCTGAAACAGTTTGTGACATGTTGATATATTCAAGCATGTGGTACTGTAATGCCCTGTAGATTGTCACTATCTAAACCCTATCCGTTTTACCGGAGGATTCTCATTTATACAGACAAGATGGATTTAACACACACATATACACAAACACACTCATCCTAACATCAACAAGGAATGAATCATACAAATGACTTCATACACATAAAACAAAATAGTAAAACTTCAAAATATTTTTTTTTGACCGAACCAATTTCAAAACTAAATATTGTAAGATCAGTACTCAGCTATAGTATTAAATAGTAGGAAAACTGCTTCAACATGTGGTATGTATTAATAGATATACACTACATCCTGTTGTACATTGTAAAGACAATGACATGCTGTATGCTTATTTGCCATTACATGCAGTAAATTGTCAGGTAAATGATATGACATGCCGCATACTGGAAAAAAAAGTTTTCATATCCATGCTGTGCATAGTAAGAAAATTGCCATACCATGCTGTTGATTGAGAGATAATTGCAAAACCATGCAGTTTTTAACAGACAAATCCCATATTATTGCTATAAAATGGCCATGACTGAGTGTATAATATTAGAATACAGAATGCAGTTGAAATAATATAGGAAACCAACTGGACTATTGAGAAAAGCAGAATCACCCTTGCTGGTGTTTTATTTACCTTATCACCATAAATAAACCTCATCAAATTATTTACCTTATCACCATAAATAAACCTCATCAAATTATTTACCTTATCACCATAAATAAACCTCATCAAATTATTTACCTTATCACCATAAATAAACCTCATCAAATTATTTACCTTATCAATAAACCTCATCAAATTATTTACCTTATCACCATAAATAAACCTCATCAAATTATTTACCTTATCACCATAAATAAACCTCATCAAATTATTTACCTTATCACCATAAATAAACCTCATCGAAATAAGCTTCCTGTTCAATAATAAGCATCCCTCACTCATCCTAATTGAATCTAGCTCACTATAATGTATAACAGATTGAAAATCAACTTGTATCACCGAGAAACTTGAATTATAAACCTTTGATTTTATACACTTGTAACACTTTATCTATATCCTTATTTCATATGAGCCCTGACATGTTTTGATAGACTTCACCAAGTCATACCAGTTAGTGCTCTTTGCTTTAAATCTTTTGTACCATTGGAAAATACTTTCTTAAACGAAGATCAAAGTTCAAAATATAGTTAATATCAATAAATCTTGGGAAAACACGTTTAAAGATGTACCCTCTTACAAATTGTGAACTTGTGATAACTTTTATTAGACCACATGGAATTTATTGAAGGCTTCAGTGCTAAACTATAAAGTGGGGTAGATCATGCAATTGTTTACTAAAGGCTGCTCAATCATGCATGCAAGCATTTGTCAAGGGATATGTTTTCTGTTCAAACCAGTTCCCATGTTTGGTAGTGAATAATATGTGTATGTCCTATATAACTGTCTGATGGAACGTGCTTTTCAGAGAACCTAAAAAATACCTACACCATAAATTTGGTAAAACGACTGCCACCACATGCTATTTCATTTCGAAACAATCTCAGGATATCGGTAATTATCTTATAAACTAAGTAGTGTTTGTACTACCACTACAAGTCCAACCTTGTAAGTACAATTGTCAGTAAACTATCATATGACATTCACATAGAACAAAATATATTGAAAAAATTTGATTCTTTTATGGAAGAAAATATAAGGACAATCATTAGCAAAGCAGGTCAGTTTTAGCATTAGATGAAGTACAGCCAAATTTTTTATTGAATTTTTCCTGTTCATATTTACAAGGTTGGACACTAGACTTACGCTACTCGAGCAGGCATTCAGCGAGGGGTGCGACGACTACTTACTTTGCTACTTACTTTAACGCTGTCAGATGTATTACTCGAGTAGGAACCCATACTACCACTGTGTTGTTGCTGGCTCACCACCGCCAAACTTGGTTTGGGGTAATCGCAGTAGTCGGGAGAATCTAGGTCATCATACACCTCGTATATAATGGAGATATCTAAACCCTGTTTAACAGCAAACAGAAACATAAGAACAGGGACACATGATATTCTGATCTTCTAAACAGAAAAAATTATTACTTATATTTCAGCAACATAACTATTCTGATTTAATGTATTCATTACCTGTCTACATGGCATCTAATTATAATTATTATGAAATTCTAGAGAGCTTTGTTAGGTAGATAAGCTTAATGGGTTTCAGGTAATTTCAAACGGACATTATCATCATAAGCTTAATATTTATATCAATATTAAATTAATTGAGCCTGAAAATGGGAAAGGCTCAAGTCAGTATTCTCTTTAAAACTTCCTCAGCAAATGGTGACTGATATATTGATAAAGAAATATTTCAATAAATCATCAAATTTGACCTTTAACCCTATAATCAGTCAATAATTTCTAATCTCAGACCTTTCACAGGACACTTATGTCCTGTATGCAAGTCCCAATCTCATCCCTATGACAGGACACTACTAACAGGGCATGTGAGTGTAAACTCTCCCCAATGCCTAAACTGATTCCTAATTTTCTTCCAAACTTACTACAACATCAACTGTGATTTCCTGTTTTGAGTACTTGAAGAGAATCACATGAGTAGCCCCAGCCACACACAACATCCGACTCTCCTGGCACAGGTGAATCAAATAGATTGCGAATGGGTCATCATCTTGTCCTTCTGTCTGCTTGAATTTTGGTTTTTCAAATATTTTGGCAGTTTTTAACTTGTATAACACTTGTAATGTCACTGAAACAAACAGAGGACAATTGATAGATACAGATTTTAGAAGCATAATTTTATTATCAAATTGCCGAGGTACAATACATTAGTGTTTATATTACAATTCTGTAATGTTTGATGTTCAAGACACAGATGTTCTCTATGAACCAAATTGAAATAACCCACCTGAGGAAGCATCCCAGAACTTCATAGAACCATCAGCATGCCTACAAAATAGAATGTGTGATATAAGACTTTGTAACAATACTGTAAACATGCTAAACTTTTACCCTGTGATAAGTATTTCTGGCTGTGAGTATACTGGATTGTCTTACCCTGTGATAAGTATTTCTGGCTGTGAGTATACTGGACTGTCTTACCCTGTGATAAGTATTTCTGGCTGTGAGTATACTGGACTGTCTTACCCTGTGATAAGTATTTCTGGCTGTGAGTATACTGGACTGTCTTACCCTGTGATAAGTATTTCTGGATAACTACATGTTGTGGTCCCCCACTCGCCTCCTTTCACCGGCCAGTTCTACAAAATTGATAAGCATTACTATCACCATGACAAGAGCAATTAGTTTTTTAAAGGTAATTTAAATGAAAAAAAAAAAAAAAAAAAAATTCTTAAAAATGAAATTCTCAGTAATCTTGAAAATAGCATTGTTTTCTTTTATTTCTTACTTGGTTTAAAATATTGCAATTAAAGATAAGTAATAAAGAAATAATCTGGTGACTAGAGATAGCCATACCAACCTTTTCACTGAATCCAGTGCGTTTGTGTTTTGAGCCTACTGAGTAAAATGCAGGTATGAGATCAGGGGGACAGTCAGCATAGTATTGGCACGCTGTCACTGGTGATTCGTGTAGGTCCATAGGGTATGGATTTTCAAAACAGGGGTACCTGTGGGAGAATTAACAATTAACATGTTAATCAGAACAACGTAACAAGAGTACCAGTGGGTGGAATTAACATGCATACAAAAGGGTACTAGTAGTGGAATCATCACGTTAAGACTGTACAGCAGGGAGGGGTACCAATAGAGACACTAGTGTTCCACCTTGCATATGTGTACAAAACCCACAATATTGGTAATATTTAAAACATTAACCCCTTATTTCAAACACTCTCCTATATAAATACATAATTAGGGGGACTGTAATACAAGGGAGGATTACTGCCGTAGTAGAAACATGCAAACATGTTACACACATCATTACCAGCAGAGGTTTCATACAAATTTAAGTAGTCTTGGGGATAGCCATATGTAACACAGCACAAAACGTGAGTACCAGACAGTCAGACCAATACTTACCCAGGACTGGTGAGATCTACCACTACCAAGTCATTCTGTAGTAGTACCACTATGGCATATGGCTCCTGGAAATCTGTAATAACACAATTCCTAACACTACAAACTGGCAGACAGCAATACAGTTAGTTGTTACATAGAAAACAATGTGAACAGGTTATCACACAAAATCTGGTTCAACTGCTCCATGGTGTTGTATCAACCACCAACCATTACGTTCAAGTACAAAAGCAATTTGCTAAAAATCAGTGACAATCATACAAGTCATATCCAATATCAGTGTTCGATGTATAAAACTGTCAGTCACATATAGTGTCCCATTGTCAGTCATATCACAGTGAGAGTCAGTGACATATCACAATGTCAGTCACATATCACATCACATATCACAGTGTCAGTCACATATCACAGTGTCAGTACATATCACAATATCAGTCACATATCACAATGTCAGTGACATAACCCTGTGTCAGTAACATATCACAATGTCAGTCACATATCACAGTGTCAGTCACATATCACAATGTCAGTCACATATCACAGTGTCAGTCACATATAGTATCCCATTGTCAGTCATATCACAGTGAGAGTCAGTCACATATCCCTGTGTCAGTGACATATCACAATATCAGTCACATATCACAATGTCAGTGACATATCACAATGTTAGTCACATATCCCTGTGTCAGTCACATATCACAATATCAGTCACATATCACAATGTCAGTGACATATCCCTGTGTCAGTAACATATCACAATGTCAGTCACATATCACAGTGTCAGTCACATATCACAATGTCGGTCACATATCACAGTGTCAGTCACATATAGTATCCCATTGTCAGTCATATCACAGTGAGAGTCAGTCACATATCCCTGTGTCAGTGACATATCACAATATCAGTCACATATCACAATGTCAGTGACATATCACAATGTTAGTCACATATCACAGTGTCAGTCACATATCACAATATCAGTCACATATCACAATGTCAGTGACATATCCCTGTGTCAGTAACATATCACAATGTCAGTCACATATCACAGTGTCAGTCACATATCACAATGTCAGTCACATATCAGTGTTAGTCACATCTCACATGGTCAGTGACATATTACAGTGTCAGTGATATATCAGTGTTAGTCACATATCACATGGTCAGTGACATATTACAGTTAGCCACATATCACAATGTCAGTCACATCTCCCTGTTGCAATCACATATCACAATGTTAGTCACATATCACAATGTCAGTCACATATCACAATGTCAGTCACATCTCCCTGTTGCAATCATATATCAGTGCTAGTCACATATCACAATGCCCATAACATATCCCATTGTCATTCCTATATCCAGGAGTCAATCCTGTATCCTCATGTCAGTCACATAGAAGTGTTAGAAACATATCACAGTATGTCAGAAACATGACATTGTCACAAATAAGTGTCAGTCATAGGTGACAATAGTAGTTACACATATTACACTATCAGTCCCACACTACTATGCCAGGTCATTCCTCCTAAAGCTAGTTTTGAGAAAAATAAATTTGAAGCCTGTATTACATACCGTTGTGCCACGGTGTTTCACAAAGCACCACAAAGTCGACCACATTGTGTTCCATTTCCAGGACTGTGGTACTCTTGCCATTCATTACAGTTATACTAGGTGTGCGCCCTGCTCTGTCGTAGGACATACCACCAGAAAATATCACTAACAGGTCACTGTAATACATAAAGGTAAAAAGTCTTAAAAAGTAGAAAATGTCTGTAAGACATAAATGTCCCTGTCGCAAGGCCTTGACCTTGGGCCCGTGGAACACGACAATATCAAAAGTATGCTTATACTTCATCTTTGCATCAAGTTTGAACCTTTTAATGAAAGAATGATTATCTATACAAAGCAAGGGTGACCTTTGATATCCAAAGTACAATCATGATTGATTTTTGTATAAAGTTTGACCAAAATCTGTCAAAAAATAAAGTTGTTTATTCTTCGGCAGATTTTGTTAGAAGCTTACATTGAATCAGGATGGGACACGATAGACGTGGGCAGCACTAAATGCCCCATTTCATGACATAATAAGATGATACCAGACACAAATAGAACTAGAACGGTCACCAGGATGGCTGACTAAAAACCCTCCCCATCCCTATCAACAATAGTTTTGGAGGGGTTGTCCCAACAAAATTCATCCAAGTGGCCTTCAATTTAACATGGCCACCAAATGGAAATTGTTTTTTTTCCCCCATGAAAATAGTATCATTGTATTTGTCATACCTCTAAACCTATTTATACCAATTTTCAACTTATTCAGATAATATCTTAATTTCGACTAATCAGAAGCCTCCAATGTGTTTCCATGGTAAAGGTTTTGGAACACCTTATATATCAAATTATAGGCTTTAATTAGCTGTAGCACTTGATCATAAAATCAATAATCAAAAGGCTAGGAGTGATAGCACTTTATATGAAAACCTGTGTATAGTAACCTGGTATAGTGATCCAACTCCATTTAAAATTTAAATGTAAACAAACAATATAACAACATCTTGCTTTTAATTCCATTGTTATGAGTGTTTTCTGAAATTTTCCAAATGCTAAAAATGTGTGGCTCACAAGCCTTCAACAAAATAACAAAGTTGAAACTTCTTAGTTTTGTGAATAATTCAGCCACTCCTACAGAGGCATTCAAACCTCTGATGTCAACTGTGATAGTGTTAATATTGACAGCTCTTGCAGAAGAATGAATTAGCAGACAGGACTTGCTAATACAAGCAGACCTTCCACGCACCTAACACTCCTCACCACATAAAGTGAGAACATCGAGTTAGATTTGCGGTTGACATTTACAGAGATGGTCTGTCTCGTGGGGCTACTACCGTAAAATAAGAACCAACATTAACATAGTACTACTAGCTCAATCTAATATACCAACCCCTATTTTTTAAAAAAACTTCACTTGTCTAGATCTTTTTACATCCAATCCCAACGTAGAAAATCAAACATGGATTTTGCATGAATAGATCAAAATTGTATTGCTGTTGATGCAGAATGTCTATTGTGTGAAAATATTAGTGTATCAAAATTCTGATTTCGATTTTCAATATTAAATTAAATATACAGATCATCTTATGATAGAAAATGCATTACAAGGCATTATCAATCATCACTGATCAACAGTGATTGAAACCACTGTAAATACCAGTTGTCTCCTTTGTCAGCCAATCTCATTATTTACCAGTGATTTTTGTGTTATGACCAAACTTCACATTCCACCAGTAATCATGTAAAAGCATGTCACCTTGACAATATGCAGTTGGTTATGGCGTGACCTTGACAGGGTTTGTGAAATGTGAAAATAATTGTATCCCCTGCTCCTGGGGATCAATACAAATACAATCACAGGAGATCTACAGTTGTCTGTGGCTCGTCTTCAATGCTTAAATTAGACCTACTTTGTTTTTGGTTGACACTTAGGCTTTGTCTATGATAATCCATCGTCTGTCTTCTCTTCTCCTAATTGATTTAAGAAAAATAGCCCCCAAGGAATAACTGTAAACTTATCTTGGTTTTTGCAAGAAACATTTTAAGGATTTTTCTTGGCTTTTGTTATTTATTTTTTTTCTAAAAAACTCTGATTCCATGTCAACCTTACAAGCCAGAAGGATAATGGGCCCTGAGTAGTTTTAGGTAAGGCAGAAGGTACATGAAAATAAAACGGATAAAAGTATATGGAGGCCACATAAAATATAGAACAGATGAAACATTCTATATAATATAGCAGTTGTGGCCATGTTTTCATATCTGTTGTCTGCTTTATAATCACAACTATAAATCCACATATAATAGCAGTAACTTATTTCAGAACTCTTCATATTGTTTGTACAATGTTACTTCCCTAAACCGATCCTTCTTAGAACAGATCACCTCTTGAAACCAATCGAAATGGCAGTGTACGGAATGACATCCTCTTTATGATTGTAATAAAAACCTTTCTAATACTGATCCCTCTCAATTTCAAATACCGAACAGAATACGTGTCCGAAATGATTGAAATATACTGAGTTGTGACCAGTGGACCCTGAAATCATCACTTGTGGTACCTGTGATAGTTGCAAACTTTTCAGCTCCGGTGTTCACCTGTCATGGGTAGGTTTTGTACACAATACCTACCCTCATTGGGAGAATTATGATAGACATATTGTATAGTTATATCCAATGACAAATTGAAACCATACTGAATAAGTCCATCGTTTCACCGAAGAGAGAAACGGCTATAGATGAAGTGAAAATAACTACTGATGCAGAATTAGAATGCCACAGTTCTGCATTCTAATCATGGGTAATTGAATAATACTATTTTAACACATACAAAATGGATATAATAATTGAGTGTTATTTTACAAGATAAGATTCTATACTAGTCAGCAAACACCTTTTTATCAGATATATGTTTGGTAACACTTTCAGACAAGCTGACCATCTGACCATCTGACCAGGGCTATGTTGGGCCATATGTAATGTTTCTTTCGACAGTCTGACGGAATGGAATTAGGTTCAATTATATCACAGACTGGAGTTGCTCTACAAACCAAAACCTCCAAAAACTGGCCAAATATTCATGTCCCATCCATGGTCTGTTTGGAGAAGTTACACTGTATTACACTAAAATATGATTTTTGTTAATTACAATTAGTAATTCATCAATGCACTAATTTGACAAAAGCAGTAATGTGCTAAATTGTCACTGCGCTAAATTAAGTATGTTTACAGCATCAAAACTTTCTAAAATATTTGAATAATGCTGTGTTTGCATGACAATTCAATATATTCATAAGCAAGCATGCATTTTCAGTAATGCACGAATTATTAACTTTTCAACAATTTCATTCAATTTTCTACACTTCCAATGTTTAGAAAAAGAAAATTGATGTCATGTCATTAACAATGCATGCAATTTAAAACCAAAATTATGTTCTAATTCATTTTTCTTAATTAGGAATTTGAAAAAAAACCCTTTCAGTGCAAATGGAAAGGAACACTTAATTTTAGGAATAAATCATTAACATAGCATTTTCAACAAAGTTTTCTCAACATGAATTCTACATAAAATCCTCAATGCACAGAATAGAATTTTTTGAAAATTAAGGTATCATTCTGAGCAAAGAAACTTAAGATTGATTTTTACTTTTTATCAAATAAAGCAAAATGACACTGTGAGCTGCAAATACTTTCAAAATTTTGTATTATAATAACCATTACAAAATAAAATCCATACTGACATACAGCCAATACGTCAATCTAACAGAGTTAATTTACACTATACAACATCAATTAATTTACACCAAAGTTATACCAGACACTGTGCACATCCTACTCATCTTCATCAACTAATAAACTTATTAGAATTTACAGCAACCTTAGTGAGGTTCCATTATGTATGCTGCATTAGTGTGCCTTTAAAAATTGCAATGAGTGTCATAATTTCTGTGTTTAACCAATATATACTACTACTGCATCAGAATATTATGGCACACCAATAGAGACTACAGACTTTTCACAGTAGGAATGGTTGTCTCCCTTGATGTATCAATAGTGTTGTATTTAAGAACATAGAATTTAATAAGTATCAATGAGTATATGCCTCGATCAACTCTACTTACCCATTTCTGGCCGACTTCCATTCTACTTTATTGATAGGCTTACATGGGTCAGGTTTTCCTTCTTTGCCAATTTTGGCTGAAAGAAACAACAAATAAACTATTATCAGAGTTTATCTCAATATACAAATAGGCCACATGCAGAGAAATAATCTTATATTTACGCATAATTTTTCCAAAATACTCTATCCTTTAACTGACGCAAAATAACACTCAAATAATTCTAATAAAAAAAAGAAGGTAACAAATTATCCACTGAATGTGAAATTATATGCCAAGAATTCACTGCAAGTGAACCTATGCCCAACTAAGACGTTCCAGTGACTAATAAACAAACTTTTTCTCTGACATTGGCCGATGGCTAAACTGGTCAAAATGACCTTCTTTTGATACATGACTCACTGCCTCTCAAAGTATGAAGTTCCAGTGATTAGTAGTGAAGAAAAATAAGTACAGACAAACTTTTTCTTTGATGTAGGTCAAATGTTGAAATTTAGGTCAAAGTGACCTCCTTTTGATACACAATACACAACGCTACAAGGTGAGCATACACACCAAGTATGAAAATCCAATGACTAGTAGTGGGCTAGTGTAGAAGAGTGAAACCAGACAAAGCCCACTTTTTCTAGGTAGGACAAAGATAAAAAAAGTAGGTCGGACTGACCTACTTTTGATGCACAACACTACCTCATCATTGAACTCTTACCCCAGGTATGAATTTCAATTGACTAGTATAGAAGATAGAGCCTGAGCAAACTTTTTCTTTGATGTAGATCAAAGGTCAAAATGTAGGTCATGAGTCATGGTCACACAAAGGTGAATCTATACCCAAAGTATGACATTTCAGTGACAAGTAATGCAGGAAAGAGAGCCCAAACAACCTTTTTCTTTGATGAAAGTCAAAGATAACAGTGTAGGTCAGAGTGACCTTTTTTTTAAAAAATACACAACACATTGCTTCACCACGGTGAACCCATACCCCAGGTAGGAAGTTCTAGAGACATGTAGAGCCTGGACAAACTAGCAGAAGGAGGGACAGAAGGATGGAAAGATGGAAGGACACAGTCAAAGCCTTTAGTCCCCTATCTGGCAGGTAACTAAAAAAAACCTCTGTCTCTGTATACATAGCCAAGTCTCAGAAACGTAGATCATTACAAACAATGGTAAAAACAAGCTTCAGTTTAAGTACTGGCTCTGGACACCATTTGTTATTACTAACTTATAAATAAAACTATTTATTCATAAAGGGATTTTTATCATAAAGGTGTCAATTTGTTGTCAAACAAAAAATTTCATACCTAGATTTAGCATAGGAAATTGGCATGATTATGTACAATTTGATATTTTTTTTGTTCTGTCAGTGTGGTGAAGATATACAATGCTGCTGACTTTGTTTCCCTTTTATGAAAACCCCAGTATGCAACTAAAGAAAAATTCTTCAAAGTTGACTGCATGACAAAAAGCAACAAAATATGCAAATATCAAAATCCAGTACAGCTGCTTGTTTTAGTTTTAAAATTAAACATGTACAACTCTGAAGACAAAAAGAAGCATACAAATGCAGTTTAAGAAATATCCATCGAGTGCAACTTGTGAAATAGTTATACCAATCCTGAGGTGTTGAAATTGAAGATGGTCAGCTGTAAGTAATTTCACTTCATTCACAACGTACAATGGGGAACTATCCATGGAGTCAGATGTCTGCCATTGGAAATTTTTTGCTTTTTGTTATTAATCAGTTTGAAAATTATAGACTAAGCATCGAAAGAAAGACGAATTACAAGAATTGCCAGAGGATGGATCGTCAATCCCATCTTTTCCTAATGCAGAGTTATCTACTCATGAACAGGTATTGGTTCTTCAGTCAGTTTGCATGAGAACATTACATTGTTTTCTCATGATATTACTCTGACAAACAAATTACATAACAATCAATATCAATACTAGCTCACAATAGCAGATGACTCTGCATTATGAAAAGACAATGCACAACAGATGATATGAACAAGCTATCTGATAATAGTTGGCTAAAAATAAATAGCAGTGATTATAATGTGACATAAGTGATTTGGAAAAATAGGTTTTCACAATATGAATTGTAAAAAGGCTGTAAATAAGTGATAATGCTTGATGAACTTCACATCAATTACCCAGACGTGTCTACACATTCTGATGTCTCATCACACCTTTATCTAGCCCATCAGACAGAACCTGTCTGGACCCACAATGCGAGTTACAACAATCTAGGGAGGAGGATACTGCTACAAGGCAGAGATTTGTGTTATGATTAAGTAGATATATGACACTGCAGACATGATCCTACATAAACCAATCATCTTCTCTTCCGTTGACAACATCTTGTGTCAACTATTGCTGTCTCACCAGATCCAGGTTAGCCCTTCGTCCTCAACGTCTAAATCCTACATTTTATTTCCTGAATGCTATATACAACATGTTTGAGAGATCCTAGATTGTACTTGTGTGATCCTATACATTAATGCCTGTGTGACACCTTCCTTGCAGTAGTAATCTTACCATGTACTGTTAATCACTTATTTTTCATGTAGTATTTATTTTGGCATTAATGTCAGGAGAGCCAGTTGCAAATTCAAATCTTGTGATTATTTTTTTTAAAGAATCTCTTAATGACATCCTTGTTACTCTGTCATTAACTTGATTTTATTTTAATTCATACTTCTGTTGAATTTACATACACCACATAATATCACAAACAAAACTGCTAGACAGATATTCCTTTCAGACATCTTCAAAACTGTGTGCTTTTTAACAACATCCCTATATTAATTACTTCAGAATTTTACTAAATGGCATCATTCAAATGTACAGCTATAGGTCAAAGGTTGAGCATGTTTGTCACAACAGACTAAACTGTTAATATCCGATGCTATTTTTCTGTTGGAAAGGTGCTAAAATATTTAAAGTAACAGTTTAACATACAAAATTTCTATTTTATAAAATTACAAAATAAACAGTAGGAAACTGTCAAAGTTGTCACCGCTTGGACACCACCATATCATTAGTATAAACATTTTGCGAAGCTAAACACCGCACAATATGCCTGGTCAATTGACAATAGTGTAATCTTACCATGAAAACAACTTACTTTACTATTCAAACATAGACACATGTGGAGTTCATGTTCATTTCTTTTGTCTATACACTAGTCTGTGCTCCAGCAGAGATATGATTCAGTATGGACACAACATGTATCACATGACTGAATCACTTTTCAGGTATAGTCACATGATCTTCATAAACAAAATGGCAGCCAATATGAAGCTATTGATTGCCATATCAGTTGCTTTCCAGAGTCACTATCTCTAATAGCTCATCATTTTCAAATTCAAAAAAAAAAAAAAATTTGCCGAAAAAAAAATATTTGCAAAGTCTAAATGATTTACAGTATGTCTGACATAAAAGAAGTTTGTGTGAACTGTGCATGGTGTCCCTGCAATTCTACAAAGCGAGTGTAAGTGATCCAGTATTAGAGACAAAACTTACCATGGGGCACTATTAGACAGACAGAAAGGACTTACCATTGGGCACCATGAGACAGAGAAGGCTTACCATTGGGCACCATGAGACAGAAGGCTTACCATGGGGTACCATGAGACAGACAGGCCTTGCCATTGGGCAACATGTGAGAGAGACAGGACATACCATGGGGTATCATGTGCGAGAAATATAGGACAAACGGGGCATCATGTGAGTGAGACAGGACATACCATGGGGTATCATGTGAGACGTAGGACATACCATGGGGTATCATGTGAGACAAAGGACATACCATGGGGCATTATGTGTGACATAGGACATACCATGGGGCATCATGTGAGTGAGACAGGACATACCATGGGGTATCATGTGAGCCGTAGTACATACCATGGGGCATCATGTGAGAGAGACAGGACATACCATGGCCCATCATGTGAGAGAGACAGGACTTACCATGAGGTATCATGTGAGACATAGGACATACCATGGGGTATCATGTGAGACATAGGACATACCATGGGGCATCATGTGAGAGAGACAGGACATACCATGGCCCATCATGTGAGAGAGACAGGACTTACCATGAGGTATCATGTGAGACATAGGGGGGTATCATCATAGGACATACCATGGGGCATCATGTGAGAGAGACAGGACATACCATGGCCCATTATGTGAGAGACAGGACATACCATGGGGCATCATGTGAGTGAGACAGGACATACCATGGGGTATCATGTGAGCCGTAGTACATACCATGGGGCATCATGTGAGAGAGACAGGACATACCATGGCCCATCATGTGAGAGAGAGACAGGACTTACCATGAGGTATCATGTGAGACATAGGACATACCATGGGGTATCATGTGAGACATAGGACATACCATGCGGTATCATGTGAGAGAGACAGGACTTACCATGAGGCATCATGTGAGAGAGACAGGACATACCATGGCCCATTATGTGAGAGACAGGACATACCATGGGGTATCATGTGATACATAGGACATACCATGCGGTATCATGTGAGAGAGACAGGACATACCATGGCCCATCATGGGAGAGAGACAGGACATACAATGGGGTATCATTAGACACAACACTTACCATGGGGCATCATTAGACTGACAGGTTTGCTGGCACATTTCAGGTTGTACGTAGTGAGACTACCATCTGTGTGACTGCACATAAACTGCTTTCCCTCATGGTGCCAGGATATGGACCGCAGGGCCTACAAATATATATTATAAACATTCAAATACATTGTTTTCAAATACATAAAACAGAGTGACCCAATATAATTACACATCCTAAATTCCTTTGCCAACTTCATCTGACCAAAGATTCATGTCCTTGGAATGATATCTTTTGGGCATTCTTCACAATAATTAAAAATCTTTTATTTTTCATTGATTGATGAGACAAAATTTGAATTAAGTTAAATCATATTCTACATATGCAATCTCCATATACTTTGAGAGGAGGTGATGAGGAGGGTATTGATTCAGCTAATCACCACATTAAATCAGCTAAGCACCACATTAAACAAGATTAATTAAGCAAGATTAATTTCTATTTCAGTTTATTTAAAGTTGGAAAGTTAATTGATCATGAACATTTTTTCTGCAAACTTAGCTGGTGTGATGAATTTTGATTGATAATGGCTATTGGTTATGAACTAATGCACACTCAGCATTTCAGTAAGTGATGACTCTGCCTTTCAGATCATTGTATAAATATCTTTTGAGTATCAATCCTAAAGGCAAAATCAGAAAAGACTACATCACTATTAATAGATATGGAATCCTTGGCCTTTCAACCTGTTGGTCCAAAATTAATCTAAAGGATTTGGTATCCATATATGAGCCTGGTTGATAATCACAGGAAACTTTATTGATTAGGAGATTCCAGAGTTCATAGAATACTTGCAGTGTGACATGGTGCAGGGAAAATCAATTGATTGTTGTCAGTTCTTGAAGATCATCCAAAGTAAGGATGCTGGTAGAGGACACAGCTTGGTAGTAACAATGGTTTTATGCTGAAGGAGGTGAAAGTGAATGTAAGAGTAGTGTAAATCAGTGGTCAGGATTTTTTGAGAAATCACAGTGAGGTTCATGAAGCTGTGAGTGCGGTAAAATTTAATAGCGGTGTGATCAGGAGTTGTTGAGGAGTAACAGTAAGGTTGATTAGGGGTGTGATCTGGAGTTGTTGAGGAGTAACAGTAAGGTTGATTAGGGGTGTGATCTGGAGTTGTGGAGTGAGAATGAGGTTGATAAGGGGTGTGATCTGGATTTGTTGTGGAGAGACAATAAGGTTGATTAGGGGTGTGATCTGGAGATGTGGAGTGAGAATGAGGTTAATTAGGGGTGTGATCTGGAGTTGTGGAGTGAGAATGAGGTTGATTTGGGGTGTGATCAGGAGTTGCAGGGTGAGAATTAGGTTGATTAGGGGTGTGATCAAGAGTTGTTGTGGAGTAACAGTAAGGTTGATTAGGGGTGTGATGAGGAGTTGTTGTGGAGAGACAATAAGGTTGATTTGGGGTGTGATCAAGAGTTGTTGTGGAGTAACAGTAAGGTTGATTAGGGGTGTGATGAGGAGTTGTTGTGGAGAGACAATAAGGTTGATTTGGGGTGTGATCTGGAGTTGTTGAGGAGTAACAGTAAGGTTGATTAGGGGTGTGATCAGTAGTTGTTGTGGAGAGACAATAAGGTTGATTTGGGGTGTGATCAAGAGTTGTTGTGGAGTAACAGTAAGGTTGATTAGGGGTGTGATGAGGAGTTGTTGTGGAGAGACAATAAGGTTGATTTGGGGTGTGATCTGGAGTTGTTGAGGAGTAACAGTAAGGTTGATTAGGGGTGTGATCAGTAGTTGTTGTGGAGAGACAATAAGGTTGATTAGGGGTGTGATCAGTAGTTGTTGTGGAGTGACAGAAAGTTTGATGAGGGTTCTGATATGGAGATGTTATAGAGTGACAGAAAGTTTGATGAAGGGTCTGATATGAAGATGTTGTGGAGTGACAATTTATTTTAGAGTTGTTACAGAAACGGTTGAAAGAAGTAATCAGAATCCTGAAATGATTTGTATTCAGCATTAGAAGTAACTGTGAGCGTGACACAGTGCTGTCATGCTGTTAATGTATCTGACATTGTAGTTAATTGGTCGATTAATGCTCCAGATTCATTTGACTGCTTTAATAACAACCTCCAAAGCAATGGGTGTCTATGTCAGTGTGGGGCAACCAACCCTGTAATGGTTCAGATTTAGGCAGTAATATGTGGCTAATGTGTCTACTGGACAAGCAACACCAATCTTGTCCCAACTTACTCAACCATATACAGGGCTCAACACTCAGTCAATGTTTCATGACAAGTTGGCCATAATCTCACATCCAACACAAAATACACTATTTCACCAGGTATACCATGAGCAACACAGAAACACTTTGCACCTGATGTTTAATGATGAGGTCACAATGTCCTTATCCAGAAGGAGACACTTACCTTAGGTGCAGTGAAGCAACATTTTAAGGGCAAAAGGTCCTTATTTAGTAGGAGGCACTTAACTTAGGTGCAGTGAAGCAACATTTTAAGGGCATAAGGTCCTTATTTAGCAGGAGAGGCACTTAACTTAGGTTCAGAGTATCAACATTTTAAGGGCAAAAGGTCCTTATTTAGTAGGAGAGGCACTCAACTTAGGTTCAGAGTATCAACATTTTAAGGGCACAAGGTCCTTATTTAGTAGGAGAGGCACTTAACTTAGGTTCAGAGTATCAACATTTTAAGGGCACAAGGTCCTTATTTAGTAGGAGAGGCACTTAACTTAGGTGCAGAGTATCAACATTTTAAGGGCACAAGGTCCTTATTTAGTAAGAGAGACACTTAACTTAAGTGCAGAATAGCAACATTTTAAGGGCACAAGGTCCTTATTTAGTAAGAGAGACACTTAACTTAAGTGCACAGTATCAACATTTTTAAGTGCACAGTTATCAACATTTTAAGGGCACAAGGTCCTTATTTAATAGGAGAGGCACTTAAGTGCACAGTATCAATATTTTTAAGTGCACAGTTATCAACATTTTAAGGGCACAAGGTCCTTATTTAGTAGGAGAGGCACTTAACTTAGGTGCAGAGTAGCAACATTTTAAGGGCACAAGGTCCTTATTTAGTAGGAGAGGCACTCAACTTAGGTGCACAGTATGAACATTTTAAGGGCACAAGGTCCTTATTTAGTAGGAGGCACTTAACTTAGGTTCAGAGTATCAACATTTTATGGGCAAAAGGTCCTTATTTAGTAAGAGAGACACTTAACTTAAGTGCACAGTATCAACATTTTTAAGTGCACAGTTATCAACATTTTAAGGGCACAAGGTCCTTATTTAATAGGAGAGGCACTTAAGTGCACAGTATCAATATTTTTAAGTGCACAGTTATCAACATTTTAAGGGCACAAGGTCCTTATTTAGTAGGAGAGGCACTTAACTTAGGTGCAGAGTAGCAACATTTTAAGGGCACAAGGTCCTTATTTAGTAGGAGAGGCACTCAACTTAGGTGCACAGTATGAACATTTTAAGGGCACAAGGTCCTTATTTAGTAGGAGAGTCACTTACCTCAGGGGCGGTGTAGCGACATTCTGCACTCTTAGTTTTGAGATCCCATAACACAATAGCACCAGTCTCAAATCCAATCAAAAGCTGGAAATTAAAGTAAAAAAATGTCAGTGGAAACAAAAAAAACAAATAAACAAAAAGTAGAAAAAGTATCATGGCCTCTAAAATTGATAGGGGAGAGTTAATTGTAAGTAGCATGGCCTCTTCCATTGAGAGGGGAGAATTGATAAAAAGCATCATGGCCTCTACCATTGAGAGGGGAGAATTGATAAAAAGCATCATGGCCTCTACCATTGAGAGGGGAGAATTGATAAAAAGCATCATGGCCTCTACCATTGACAGTGGAGAGTTAAGTATTATGGTCTATATCGACAGGTTGAAAGTTAATTGTATGAAGATTCTTAAAATTCTTTCAGTGATGTCCACTAAAACCCCATCAGCCAAGTTCTCTAACAATTAATGTTCTCCATTTCCAGAGAATTTGATAAACTGGTGTCTATATTAAATTTTCTCCTTATTGCATTGCAGCAACCAAATTTACTTGCCTGCAAATGGCATTTGGTTTCCATTAATGTGCAAACTAACACTGAATGTAAGGGGACAGGAGGTCAATTTTTCAATGTAAGGGAAGCATTTGCCATTTAAAATACCGTCAATTACTATCAGTTATGATTTTTGTCCAATATATCTTTATTACATTATTGTCTAAACTTACCTGCTAATTCTAAAACAAATGGCAATGCTACTGAAAAAAATCTATTGCTAGAGATATCCATGAGAAGCAATTAAAAGTAAGAAATTGAGGCCTGAAATGGAAATCGAAGATTCAAATGGAATTGAGGACCCAATTGAAGTGAAGGTTGGATACCAGACAGGAGGTTATAAGACAGGATTGTGCATAAAAGAAAACCATGTATAAGGGTTATGTGTGATGGTTAAGCAAAAGAGATAGTGAAAAGGTATTGAAGTGACAGTCAGTAATGAAAAGGAAGCATAAAAAACAGATAAGGGTCAGAAATAAGAGTCAATCCTTGGTAGTTCAGAGGTATAGCAATGAGAGCCAGTCTTTGGGGACGGAAGTGATGGTCAATCCTTTGGGATCAGAGGTAATGCTCAGCAATGAGAGTCAGTCTTTGGGGACGGAAGTGATGGTCAATCCTTTGGGATCAGAGGTAATGCTCAGCAATGAGAGCCAGTCTTTGGGGACGGAAGTGATGGTCAATCCTTTGGGATCAGAGGTAATGCTCAGCAATGAGAGTCAGTCTTTGGGGACGGAAGTGATGGTCAATCCTTTGGGATCAGAGGTAATGCTCAGCAATGAGAGCCAGTCTTTGGGGACGGAAGTGATGGTCAATCCTTTGGGATCAGAGGTAATGCTCAGCAATGAGAGTCAGTCCTTGGTAGTTCAGAGGTATAGCAATGAGAGCCAGTCTTTGGGGATGGAAGTGATGGTCAATCCTTTGGGATCAGAGGTAATGCTCAGCAATGAGAGCCAGTCTTTGAGGACGGAAGTGATGGTCAATCCTTTGGGATCAGAGGTAATGCTCAGCAATGAGAGCCAGTCTTTGGGGACGGAAGTGATGGTCAATCCTTTGGGATCAGAGGTAATGCTCAGCAATGAGAGTCAGTCCTTGGGGGATGGAGGTGGTGGTCAGTCCTTTGGGGTTGGCGGTAATGGTCAGCAATGAGAGTCAGTCCTTGGGGGATCGGGGAGGTGGTCAGTCCTTTGGGGTTAGTGGTAATGGTCAGCAATGAGAGTCAGTTCTTGGGGGATGGAGGTGGTGGTCAGTCCTTTGGGGTTGGCGGTAATGATCAGTAATGAGAGTCAGTCCCCCGGGAGTCGGAAATGATGGTCGGCAAGTATAGAAACTGAACTAAATCACCAAGAAGTTATTCAGGGTCATGTAGTTTGTTACTTTACATCTACCAAACTCATCATGTGAAATATAAGATGTCACTGATTTAAAAGGAAATTTTCTACAGATACCACTGTAATAACTAAGATTCCAGCTAACCTGATCTCCATGAGATTAATATAATTTGCTTGACTAACACTGGCAGGTATGAATACTATCAATTGTGCAGAAGACATTTGTGCACCTAAAATATTATCTATTGTCTGAAAGCTATTTGCGTACATAAAATATTATCTATTGTCCAGGAGATATTTGTGTACCTAAAATATTCTCTATTGTCTGGGCACTATTTGCGTACCTAAAATATTATCTATTGTCTGAAAGCTATTTGCGTACCTAAAATATTATCTATTGTCTGAAAGCTATTTGCGTACATAAAATATTATCTATTGTCCAGGAGATATTTGTGTACCTAAAATATTCTCTATTGTCTGGGCACTATTTGCGTACCTAAAATATTATCTATTGTCTGAAAGCTATTTGCGTACCTAAAATATTATCTATTGTCTGAAAGCTATTTGCATACCTAAAATATCATCTATTGTCCAGGAAGTATTTGTGTCCCTAAAATATTCTCTATTGTCTGGGCACTATCTGTGTACCTAAAATACTATCTATTGTCTGGGAGCTATTTATGGCAACTGTACAGATGAAAGGAGCTGAATTAGTGCATAATTCAAGCTATCATATATAATTAACTGTCAGTATTTTTCTGTGGTTTTGATTTTCTACAGACTGCCAAATTATTTTTATTAATCACATATAAAAATGTAAAGTTATCACAGTGACCACTGTACAACCACCTCTGAGCTAAACTAAAACAAGTTTGGAGCAGTTCACAAATGTCACTTCCATGGAGATTAGTCATTTTGTTTCTAAATGTGTGCACAAAGGACAAGATCTGAATCAGCAGACCCATAATTTCAACCTTAATAGGCAATTTTCAGTTCTTTATTCTTTTCAAGCAAAACAATGTCATCCAATCAATTATGAAAGAAACCATTTCGGTCTACACGAAAGAGATATACCAAACATTCCAATGATTAAACCATTTAGTTCCAATTTTGTTTTCCACTGACAGGATTACTTTTCTCAAGAAAGAATTCTAAGGTGATTTATTTACTCACATCTTTTGATTAAGTTGCAATTTTCAACTGTCATTTGATTTCACCAACACTGCATTAAGACAGAGTTGAGTAATTAACAAATGGTTTCTGGTAGTTATAAAGTAATGATTGGTGGGTTATTAGCATGATATATATACAGGAAGTCCTGCTTAAATAAATGAATGTTGAATATATGTAAACTACAGGATACAGGACAAGTCCTGGTTCTTCAGTAAACTACAGGATACAGGACAAGTCCTGGTTCTTCAGTAAACTACAGGACACAGGACAAGTCCTGGTTCTTCAGTAAACTACAGGATACAGGAAAAGTCCTGTTCATCAGTAAACTACAGGATACAGGAAAAGTCCTGTTCATCAGTAAACTACAGGATACAGGACAAGTCCTGGTTCTTCAGTAAACTACAGGATACAGGATAAGTCCTAGTTCATCAGTAAACTACAGGATACAGGAAAAGTCCTGGTTCTTCAGTAAACTACAGAATACAGGAAAAGTCCTGGTTCTTCAGTAAACTACAGGATACAGGAAAAGTCCTGGTTCTTCAGTAAACTACAGGATACAGGAAAAGTCCTGGTTCTTCAGTAAACTACAGGATACAGGAAAAGTCCTAGTTCATCTGTAAACTACAGGATACAGGACAAGTCCTAGTTCATCAGTAAACTACAGGATACAGGAAAAGTCCTGTTCATCAGTAAACTACAGGATACAGGAGAAATCCTGGTTCAGTACAAGTTGCTGGGTTAACATTAGAGCTAAAAGCACTTGGTTAGGATTTTTCAAGAAGTTTCAAGATGAGCTTATCTTTAGTTGCTTAAGAAAAATTTTAACCAAAAAATTGTTGACAGGCCAGATAGACAGATCATAGGTGTAAATCAATTTTTAAAAGTCATCATCTGATTATGGTAAGGGTGTGGGCAATCACGCAAAATACTCAGTAATGTACTGTAGTATAATTACAGGATATTTCCTGCTGCTGTTTCTTGTAGGGCTGTGTACAAGAGAGGCAATTGTAGGGTCTGAATTCTTAATTTCTGTAAATGATTTATTGTATCTTCCAGTAAGAAGACAAATTGAATGGAATTAATCTGCATGTACTACTGTATGTTACTTAGGAAGCTGAAATTGAGACATGCCAATTATTGATCCCTTGGCCTAAGTCTAGCAGTTAAACTGGCATCATGAATTCACTACACAACAAAACAGTATTCAACACTAGTGTTCAAAGGAAACCAGAATAGAACATGTCAGTGTCTCACCAGCCCCATTCTCAAGGACCTAGCACACAACACTGAAATGGACCATTCAGTAAGTCTGTTACCAGTCCTTGTTCTAGAAGCAAAATGCCAACAGAGCATGTCAGTGTCTCACCAGCCCCATTCTCGGGGACCTAGCACACAACACTGAAATGGACCATTCAGTAAGTCTGTTACCAGTCCTTGTTCTAGAAGCAAAATGCAAACAGAACATGTCAGCGTCTCACCAGCCCCATTCTCGGGGACCTAGCACACAACACTGAAATGGACCATTCAGTAAGTCTGTTACCAGTCCTTGTTCTAGAGGCAAAATGCCAACAGAGCATGTCAGTGTCTCACCAGCTACCATTCTGAGGGTACCAGTACACAAGTCAAATGGAGTATACTGCATGCCTGTGCCTCACCAGTGCCATATCTTATGGACCTTGTACATACCATACTAATGGAACATTCAGCATGTTAGTGTGTTACTAGCCACAGTCTTAGGGACCTGGTACATATGCTTCAAATGAAACATACAGCATGTCTGTGCCTCTCCAACCCCCTTTCATAGAGACCCACGACACAGTATTCAAACAAAGCATTCAACATGTCTCACTGGTCCCTAGTCTGAAGGACCTAGTACATATCATTCAAATAGAACATACAACATGTCAGCCTTTTCATTTGTCCACATTTTAGGGCCCCAGTACACTACATGTTAATGGAGTATAAAGCATGTTAGTGTTGTATTTGTCCTAGAAGAAATCCAGTATTCAGTTTGTCAAAGGTGAGCAACAGACCAAAGCCCCATATATAGCTTATATGTAGTGTCGCAACACCTCTCAGTAGGACCATCCATTCAGCATCCCTAACAGGGATTGTGCTCATGCAGCAAACAGCATGTTGGTTGCCATACTCACCCTCCCATAAAACAAAAATGCAGCATGTTTTAAAGAAAGTTATAAACAGAGTTGCAGATACATGTCAGTTCAGTAGTAAAGACTGACACTGCTGGAAATGTGATGGTCCTTTCTAAAGAAATATTTAAAGCTGCACCATCACTGTTATGTCTTCGCCACAGTTTGGTGAGAAATGAATGAAGATTGATTTGGCACCTACTCCAGCCCCTTACCATTACTTCGGCCCCCTCACCATTAATTTATCTCTATAACCAAGCCAACACGGACTCTGTGCCTGGGCCAACCTAGCCAAGTTCAGTAAGGTTTAGGACACAAAGTTCCAAATAAATCCTCAGTGCTGTAATTTGGTAGAGATTTACTACTTGTCAGCTGTAGTAAATCTGTTGATCGCTCCATCAGACACTGGACACAGTGGCAGTAAATGTGGGCTTAGGATAACCTATAACAGTCCTTAGAACACAAAAGGATACTTTTTTTTCTTGTGTATGATCAAATCTCTTTTTTTTCTCTTTCTTAAAATGTCACTATCTAGTGTTAATATCAATTAAAGCAATTCTGATTTTGAAACAATGAAACTATATTCATCATGCTGATTTCCCAGCATGTAAACTTCTGGTTTTTTTGTTGTTGTTAATTTTGTATCTTACTGTCTAAATCTAGTTGACATGCCACTATTTCCTCAAAGCTTGTAAAGCAATAATTATCTAGACTTGAACGGTAGCATTCTTGGAAAAGGTTTCTGAAATGTTTCGGAAATTGATCATGACATCAGCTGATGTTTCATGTTTCTCTAACTTTAATTTCCTGCATATTACACCACAAACTTGCTGTCAAGATCTTCAAATGTGAGCAGATGTGCAATGTTTATGACTGAAGTTAATGTCACTAAGATAATATCTTTCCTAAAAACTATCAACAAATAATCAAAGTGAAATTAAAATTTGGTGCAGAATTCCTCCCTGGACCATAAGCAGATAACTTATGACTTGGGTGAAAAATCAGATGAGACAGGCTTGGGGATAAAAGCAGAGGTACATAGAAAATGTTTGGCAATAAACCTACAGCCAGGCCAATAAATCCAAACACGCTTTTTAAAAAAATCTATAATGGAATGACTTACAAAGGAGTCTAAATGTATACGAATCTAGCCATGGCTGGCAGCTACCTTACATCTTCTCTATAAATCTAGGAAAGGCTAAAGAGATTAACAAAGACTTGGGGCTACTTAATGTTGGCCCCATAAAAAGAAGAAAAAAGAAATAAAGACTAGAGAATACTTCAAACCAAGAATAACAGACTGTCATAATTTTGTATTTAAGTCTACTCCTCCACAAGCAGGAGGAATTTTATCTCTCTAAATCATCAATGATGACAATTCATACATGGTACCAAGGTGCAATTATATCATCAATATGATTTTAGGGCATGTTTTAAAAAGTAAATGTCTTCATATAAGGCCAATAGAATCAACTGTAATTGTTACATCGTTTCTTAAACAAAGCCCCTAAGACATGGCAAAGATAAAAGAACAGCTTCTAAACCCGACAAAGTGATTTTCTTCTAGCTCATCTTAGCGAATGGTGTTAGATGATCAAATAAAACTCTTGGTGTGCAAAATTGAAACATCATGATAGAAGATCAATGCAGCAACATAATATTCAAGTCATTAAATAGTTACTGCCAGGAGTTCCAGGTAAATGGAACAGGTCTCCCAGGGATCCTATTTGAATTAATGTCATACCTGTGATAAGGAAAAGGTAGGTATGGACTAATTAACTCACTGTCAATGTTTTCTGTCATCCGTACAGGTAGGTGGGAAAATGTAAATTCAGGTACACAGGTATTACCAATACAAAATATCTGGAAGCTTATAAATTAGTTATGGTTTGATACTAATTCTAAAAATGTTTTATCAAAGTGAAAAATGGCATGAGGGCAAAACCGGAAAGGGGTGAAGTCAGGACAGATGAAAAGGACAGGGAAGGAAAGAAAATGTAAAAGAGTCTGGAAAGGTGGGAGGAGAGGTAAATGAAGGATGTGAAGACAAAGATAGGGAGCAATTAAAGATCATGAAGTAAATAAAATAATCAGATGACAGGCTGATGGTTGAGGAATATAAAGCTTTAATAGTTGGAGAGTTGAGAAAGAAAGAGGATGATCTTTGTGAAGGAAAAGGTGACACATAATTGGGTTGGTTGGTAAGAGAAAAGGTTAAGAAAGGAAGAGAATGATCTTTGTGAAGGAAAAGGTGACACATAATTGGGTTGGTTGGTAAGAGAAAAGGTTAAGAAAGGAAGAGAATGATCTTTGTGAAGGAAAAGGTGACACATAATTGGGTTGGTTGGTAAGAGAAAAGGTTAAGAAAGGAAGAGGATGATCTTTGTGAAGGAAAAGACCACAGACCATTAGGTCGGTTGGTAAGAGAAAATACAAACCTTGTTAGGGTCTACAGGGCTATCACTCAAGTGTACCACTGTGCCAGGGTGAGTCTTCCTTGACCTGTAAATATAGTGTAATACTTCAATGTCAAATAGCCACATATAATCATTCATTCATCATCAGCAGCAAATTTACAAATACAATAGTACATTAACATCTGAATTTCAATACTTTATCACACAGATAACCATGAATCTGTAACGACAGTACAAACAACCAAGAGATTTAGAGATCAAGTTGGTAAGACACGCCCTGATGCAGCCACTGATCCTAATGTTGTATAGTGGAAGGTGGATATCAAATAAACAAGAATTACATAGAGTTGTTAAACAAATGAATTGTGTCCAATTACACGTACTGTCAGTACAATTTAACACACTCAAGTTTGTAAGCAGGCAGAAGTCTACATTTTTTGGTATCTGTTTCCAATATCTCAATATAAAACACAAGTTTCATAAACGTCTAAATACACAATGCAATGACCTGCCACTGTGAGAGCATCATCTTGTTCAGAAAAAACTTAACTGTTTTGATATCATGGAGAAAACAAGTGTTTTCTGGTTTATAACTGATCTGTACTATTAAAATTTCTCAGACGTCTACCAGACCTTTGATTTGAGAAAGCACATGGTCAAGTGATTGATTTTATTCCATTACTTTCTCCTAGTTCAGAAATATTAATGGATATATGCTGTATATCAATATAAAAAGAAGTGGTTTTTCCTCCTCCTTCTTACTTTTTTTAATTAGTATTGTGTTATGGGATCACATCATACTATTTTGGACTACGATGATAGATTTTAAAGTTGATGTGCACAAACAACCTGTGACATTGCTCAATGTCTCGGTAAAACATTATGTCCCAAGCATTTCCAGCAGGAGCAATTAAATGTGAAATATTGAATAGACAAATGAAGAACTCTCTACAACACACAACTCAGATCCAGATTGATGGGAGCTGTGTAAACTAAGCAGACAAACTAATGCCTAAGTAATGTGGACGGTTATTGCGTAATTACACAGCGTAGTTGATGATGACACTGAGGGAAGGTTTATGTGATGGGATGGCTCCATCAACCAACTAATGATAACATTCTAGTACTGTTTTGCATGACAGTTTGAATTTCTTGTTACTGGTGATTGGTCATAAGTAAAATGCACTTTAAAGATATCCCACGAACTAGGAGGGATACAAGTGTGCTGTCTCATACAATGTATAAGTGGAGGTCAGTTCGTGGGTTTTCTAAAATAGGGTCAGAAGGGAGAAGTGGATATGAATCTCAGTCAAACAAACCCTGTTCACAAAACACTTGTACCAACATGCAACAGATGTCAAGAACTACCTATAATCATATGTCTCTTCTGTTCCACTTTATTTGGTATGGTAATCTTTCAGTAAAATGTCAAATATACTAAAAATTACTTTTCCCCTCTCTTCATAGATACCAAATTCACCAACTGAATTTTAAACAATAATATGTATGTTCAAATATTGATGCACTGTAAGAAATGGAAATTTTACAAATTCTTTAATTCTAAAAATTTACTTAATTGTGACATTTCCACCCAAAAAATTTGATTTCTCAACATGTAAAGTATTTGTCCCAAATACCGAGAAAAAAAAATCTTGATGTCATCCATTTGATAGGTTCTTATGTCTATACTTTAATGAGTTCCAGGTTTGATTGGAATAACATTTTTTCATGAGAAAGAGAGCTAAATGCAAAATTTTGAAGTCCAGCTTGTCAGTATCCCTATTTTCAGAGTTACTGGTCTGTAAACCTGGAGGAAATTCTCTAAATGATGGATGTGGATGATGTCTATGTGATCTAGCTATATACCTTGTTTGTTTTTTTAAGCTTCCTGAGAAATACAAACTGCCTGGGTAGGGAACGTCAAACTCACACACTAGATCTGAATCTGATATTACGTAGGCTAACACATATTATATGTACCAAATGCCAATTATTCAGCAGTGGTAGTACCCCAGAATATTGATATCTTCTGGTTATTCTAAAATGGTTCTGTATGGAATGATGTCAGATAAACCCAGGGTAGATGACTGGGGTAAATATTTGCTTCGACCCATGACCAACAAAATCACATATAAAAACTTGTTACATTAATTCTTAATTAAGTATATAACATTAGGTATCCCAACATCATTTAACTATACAGTTTATATATCACTATGAGAAAAGTTTGGGCAATTATCATTCAGCTACAACAGATGCCTGCCATTACCACAAACTGTACGATATCTAAAACAGTGTGAGATAACATCTTGAAGCTATGTATTAACAAAACCTGCTAATTATTGATCAATACCTGACTATAACAAAGCATTGTTTAAGAGGTGATAGTAGTTTTGGAGCGACTGTTTTTCTTTGTCATTGAGAACACTGGAAACTCTAATGTAGCCACAGTCGTTCATTTCTCTATGTTTTAAACATGAGAACCTATTAGCTAATTACCTTTGTATTTGGTGTTGGTGGCTCAGGTAAAACTGAGGATTGCTGAAGCTATACAGGTTCTGTACTGGCCCTAACAACTAATTAAACTGTAATGATTTAGAAGAATTTGAAAATTCTAAAAATGATAAGTGACCTTGACCTAATAACCTCAAAACTCTCCCCTGTCCAAGATATTTTGATGGTTTATAAGTATGTAAAGTTTGAGGAGAATCCTTCAAAGAATGAAGACGCGAAAGTCCTGACTACGATTTTCTATAAAAATAGTAACGGTAATATTGACCTTAAACCAAAAACCTTTTAACACTAGACATCTTTCAGCAGCAGTGGCTTTCATTTTATCAACCTTCTTTAACTACTGCTGACCATTTCAGAGCTTAGTCAGATGACCATGACTTCTGAGGATAATTGATAATCCTATCTATTATTTTGTCATTTACTGGTTTCTGATGATTATATATTGACTCTGATAATCTAATAACAACTAGAATCTGTATGTTTGTAAAATTTCCGTAATAGTATTACTATACTAATATCAAATGTCTCCTTTATTTCACATGGCACTGATAAGATTCCTTTTGATACTAAAATCACAAAAGATGAAAATTAGAAATACAAATGAATGATCCAGACATAGCCATTGGTAAGACAAAGGATTTAAAAGCTGATCCAGCCTCTTCTCTCAACTTATGCTAGTCATTCCTTCAATTACAGTTGAGTTTGCTGTACTCTGTAACCTGAGAGTTCTCCTTTGGGATATACTAAATTTAGTAACAACACCTTTAACATAATAGAGGGTCATAAATGATATCACTGTACAGGTAAAATCAATAGCACTTGTTTTTGTATATGGTGTGTCTGGACAAAGCTTGTACGATATATTTGCTGAAGTTCAATGAATTATTAAATTCCATGTATTTGATTACCTTCATAATTGTGCCTGTAGAAGGTTTTTGGTAGAAGTAACTACTACGTACCAGCAGATGTCAGACCTTAGTTGATCTAACATTTCACAGAAGTTGGTATGAGTGGTATGACACCAACACATTTCAAATGACATTCCAAGAAGTACCAGTAACACTTACTGTAGTCATCTGAGTTGTCCCCTGACATCCTGGAATGGACAAAGGGGGGCTGACTGGGTAGTCATCAGACATATTGGGTGGACACAATGGAACAGACTGGGTAGTCATCCCACATTTAGGGTGGACAGAGTGGGATAGACTGGGTAGTCATCTGACATTTAGGGTGGACAGAGTGGGATAGACAGGGTAGTCATTTGACATTTAAGGTGGACAGAGTGGGACAGACTGGGTAGTCATCTGACATTTAGGGTGGACAGAGTGGGATAGACTGGGTAGTCATCTGACATTTAGGGTGGACAGAGTGGGACAGACTGGGTAGTCATCCAACATTTAGGGTGGACAGAGTGGGATAGGCTGGGTAGTCATCTGACATTTAGGGTGGACACAATGGAACAGACTGGGTAGTCATCTGACATTTAGGGTGGACAGAGTGGGATAGACTGGGCAGTCATCTGACATTTAGGGTGGACAGAGTGAGATAGACTGGGCAGTCATCTGACATTTAGGGTGGACAGAGTGGGATAGACTGGGTAGTCATCTGACATTTAGGGTGGACAGAGTGGGATAGACTGGGTAGTCATCTGACATTTAGGGTGGACAGAGTGGGATAGACTGGGTAGTCATCTGACATTTAGGGTGGACAGAGTGGGATAGACTGGGTAGTCATCTGACATTTAGGGTGGACAGAGTGGGATAGACTGGGCAGTCATCTGACATTTAGGGTGGACAGAGTGGGATAGACTGGGCAGTCATCTGACATTTAGGTAAGATACAGTGGAACTATCACCACTTTAGTCACATGACATTTGGGGAACACACAATTGGGCTGTCACCACTTTAGTCACATGACATTTGGGGTACACACAGTTGACTGCCACCATTTTAGTCACATGACATTTGGGGAACACACAGTTGGGCTGTCACCACTTTAGTCACATGACATTTGGGGAACACACAGTGGAACTACCACCACTTTAGTCACATGACATTTGGGGAACACACAGTTGTACTATCACTATTTTAGTCACAATGCATTTGGGGAACACACAGTAGGACTGTCACCATTTTCGTCATATGACATTTGAGGAACACAACAGTGGGACTGTCACATCTGCCAGCATTAGGAACATGTACTCATTAAATCAAGTACTATGAAAAAATACATGGCATTCTATAAGGAAAGTGTAGCTGTTAAGTGATAAAATTCACAATACCATTATAAGCTAAATCATTTCAATTCCAAATACATAAAGAACCCACACACAAATATCAACCACCTCCTTAAATACACTGTAGTTCACATCATCTCCAAAATTATCTTTTATAATCACATTTGCAACATCTATTTGATGTAAAGGATTCAATATATTTCTTTAACAACACTAAATTTGGAAAGACACTTTAGCTATCCGATTAATATTATTACATTTGAAAGCATTGAAATTGTCCTGCTACCCTGAGTGGGCCAATCCAGCGTACTCCAAGCCTAATATGCTATACTATA